TTTAAGCGTCTACACGTGGTAGTACTATAAAAAACGCATAATTCCGCTGCGCGCTCTCGACGTAAATTCGTATTAGACATTGGCCTATGACCCAGGGTTGCTAGACGTAAAATGCAAATTAAAAACATTTGTGGCAACAGTTGGCATTGAAGCCAAGAACTAGGAATAGAGGAGAAACAGGGACCTTACACAGTGTTATGAAAGTTGTCCAAGATATTGTGTTGCGCAATATTTGACTGTTGTTTCTTGTGGAAACTTTTTATTGATTGAGAAAACCTGGAGTCGTGTCGTGTTCTCAGACAGACGAATACACTTAACAAGTACTCTAGAGGCAAAAACCTGTGACCTCGATCCTTTTTGGGGCGGAAAAATAAATTTTTCTGTTTGTCCAAATGGTATTAAGTAGTGTACTGTGTAAATGAAAGGGAACTAGTGCTAAGACAATTAGATAGTTTTGCTATTGCGCCATGCGTTCATCCACACTGAGCTATAGTAAATTGTTGCAGTGTTTGTGATTCCAAAAGTCATGAAAGATAAGTGACAATAAGGAAAGACCCGCAAGCTGCGCACTAATGCCAGCCCTACCCTTGACACTTGACATTACTCTATCAAGCACGATTGTGCCAAACACGCTCAACTCACTTATAAAAACTTTTTCCGTTGTGAACGGAAACCGTACAGTCGCGCAAATTTATTCGTCCGTACTCGGATCTCGTGGGCAGGCGTCTGTCTACCTACGTGCTGTAGTACGCTCCGACTTGAAGACTTGTTACTTGGACCACCTGATGTACTAAACTGTATATGTATATGAAACGTATACTTAACGCCAACTACAAGTGTTTATAACTTGCTAATGAGTTCAAAACGAGTTTTTGAAGCAAAACCGAGCGGAGCTTGGCAATCTGTCTCCTTAGCTCACTGCAGTCCAAAGGTCCAAGGCTGGACAGAACACACTCTGCTTTCGGTAAAAAAAACGTCATCATTCCTGTGAAGTATTAACTGTTAAATAATTTTACGCAATGAAAAAAGGTCTGTAAATCTTGCCAAACAAAGTAATCGACAAAAATGACAAAGAAGAGTCGACATATAAATGAACAAAATGGATCTTTAGAATAAAATCAAAAGCAGCATTATAACATTTTGAAATCTTCGTACTTGAAGCTATTAGCACAAACACTTCTCCTCGTTATAATCTAATAGGAATATTATTCGCTCATATTGCAGCAGGTACTAAGCCATCAAAACATAACAGAAGGTCTGCTGCAGCACAGTTTAGTATAAAGTGTTGGCCACGCATGCCTCGTTGACAAGTACTAATTTATAAGTAAGGCGGGACAGGGCAGCGTTTATCACATACAATATTCAGCAGCAAGGTATAAAGATACTGAGTACTTAATAAGTGTGTGCCGTCAGATCGGGCGACCGCCATCGATCCGAACCATAGCAACGGCAGCGTCGAAACAAGACACATTGCCTCTCCCAGCCTGCTCGCCTGCTCGCTGTACTACATACTACATACTACATACCTACCTACTTAGCTACTTACATAACTACTCTTTGCAAAAACTCATTTATGAAACGCAGTATCGTTTCGAATACTTGCTTAATTAACTATTCAGAGATAGGTACGTGTACGTACCGTGTGCTCTTTCCTTTTGTTACCAACCCGACGTTTTGAATTTGTTTAATCCGATAAGTGTTCGCTTAGGTGTGCGATCGTGGGATCATTTCTATATCGGCAGCTGGGTCCGAGGTTCGAGTTGTTAAACTCTTTCATTTTTAATTGTGAGAGTGTCTATAACTCTACAGTACAGTAGAATTGATGATATGCATAAAATATTTTAGCACACGATGACGAGTTACGTCCTCACGTGGCAGCAGCGAATCGATGGAACCCAGGAGCCTAGGCTTGTATATCGCGTCCGGCCGCAGAGCTCACTCCCACACTCCCAGTTGTGTGCGGGCTGTGAGCACATAGCGCTGTACATACATACATACATAGGTAACTGTGTATAGTGTCGGTTGGCGTGACGCGGCCGGGTTCGTTTTTACGGGCGGCCGGTCACCTCCCAGTGCGTCTCCCTGTCACTTGTAGGACGAAACCTTTTCATAGCATCGCCCGACGCCCGACACCACTCAATGACATCCACGCATCCGCCCGAGCTCGCACACTCCGACCACTACTTCGTGATGAACTCCTGAGCTGGGCCTGCTTCATATTTGCTCGGTAAACATCGCTTGTGTGCGTTCTTAGGTAACGACGAATATCGTTTTGTGCGGAGAGGCTAACTTCGGACATGTGCATACGAATTCTTGATGAACTAAAGAGGTTAACGGTACTTAGGCATAACGTTAACTTGAGTTCACAGCAACGTTCAGAAAAATACTTAATATTGTGGAATCTATGTGAACGACTCGGTCGGTCTGTGTACAAGTACATAGAGCGCAGTACAATAGAGCGTACAACAGTATAGCACACATAAATATGTATTCGCTATATCTACAGGAGGAAGTGTCCTCCCTCGGTGACGGTGACGTGTCGCGCGGACGACACAACTGCGTTGCAATTTAATTGTACACCATTTCTACTTCTAAATACCTACACCGTTTTCAAAGCGGGTCAATAAGAGTTTGGAAACGAAGTTCAACTACACCTAGTTCCTCATTTGCACTGTATAATAACCAGCCCAAGTTGAGCTGCTAGCAACGAGCGTCGAGATAAAGAGCTCGTTCGTCAAGCGCCGACGCCTCGGTAGGAAATATATCCATAATACGTATAGATATAGTGTACTCGACTCGTACATAGGTCGTAGCTGTACGTAGTATAAGTAATGTTGTACGAGAGTACTGCACGCCTTTCGAGTTATCAGAACGCGCGGCATGTGGCTTAATCATCGAGTCAATATCTGCCTCGTTATCTGCACAGAAGTGGGTCGTTGACTGCGTAGCCTGGTCTCCCGTGCGGCCGTGCTGCAGCGCACTGCCCGCGAGCCGCGGCCGCTCACACACTGACTGCTATTGAAACACTGCGCCGAGGTTCACACGTTACACGTCGCATTGTGTCTTGACCTTGCAGGTCACAGCATATTGAAATAAACAAATTTAAAACCTAAATGAAGTATTATTTCAGATTTCCATATAAGAGGAAACTGGAAATTGTAATGAAATACAGTGGCGTAGCGTGTCTTGGCGGGGCCAGGCATAAAATTCGTTTAGGGGCCCTTATGAAGGGTAAAGGTTGCTCACAAGAGAAAAAGTTTTGCATAAAATAATAATTAAGTAATTAAATTTGTAATTTGTGTGAAAATCGGAAAATTTTTCAGGCAACTCACTGACTGACTAACAATTTCATATTGATAGTTAATATGTCCACTGTGAAAGTGATGGATTGTGGCCCCATCCCACAGACAGAGAGAGCAAAAGCTGCAGTAAGGGTGTTTAGAGGTTGCTCACTCGCAAGTTGTGTGCGATATCTCTGGCGTCGGGCGGTGTGCCACGACTGCCACGAGCACGCCTGTCTCCTGGGCCGGGATCACGGCGCGGCCGCCATCGCGGCGAGGTATTCGAGGCGCTCCTGCCTCGTATCTCGCTTAACATGTATAAATACATTACCGACGCACCCCACCTGCCGCCACATTCTCAGATTCCACCCCTCTGCCGACACTGACAACCTAACAACCGCAATCACATTTTATACGTTTACGTATAAGTAAAGTAGACACGTCTGTTTTGTTTATACCCGTGTGCACGCTACACGCTACAGCTGTTGATATCGCCATAAATATACTTTTAATAACATGATTATACAATGAATTAGCTTTAACATTTCAATAATCAATTCATTTTAGTAAATAGTGGTCATAAATTGTAACGCAACGCAATACTAATATCGGCTACTATGTGTTTACTACATCAATTCCAATAATAAGTAAGTAGCGAGCTGGTAATAATTCAAGAGAACACTTTTATGAATGGAGCTCGCAGTGCGAGTGCGCCGGTTATGTTTATTACATGTGGCATAATGTCCGCCGCGACATGATCAGCTGATCTCAATATTCCAGTGGGCTTTGTGAATCACTTACGAGACTTTATATAGAAACCTTTAGTTGGACAGTCGCGATCGTTGCGAGTGTGCATGGGTCTGGGGCCTGGGAGGAATTTGCGTGAGAGTGATGTGAAAAATGTGCGTGACGAAAGACGTTAGGCCGCCGCTGCGCTGGCCGGCACGGCGCGGGTACATTTATCAAAGGAACGATGATCCGTCGCCACAAATCAGCTGAACAGACAGCACGGCCGCCTGTTTGATGCTTTACTACGATATAATAATATGGTGTGCTTTGTTTGAGTTCTTCATATTTAACCTTCCCTGCAACCTAATGCGTATTTTAATTTTAATTATTATTTATACCTAGTAATATAAAATGCTTAATAAAGTAGTGCATACGGAATTATGAGCAATATGCACATTGTGAGCAAGGTAATTAGTAGCTACCAAAAGTATATTTAAATTTTGAAAGAAGTCGATTAAATAGTAAATCGTTTCATATGGGCCCCTAATCGATTTATTCTTACATGTAAATTTTATCGGTTACATAGTTCATTCGATATTTTTAGTCAGTACCATATCTCTAGTGAAACTTGAATTCAAATACCAAACGTCATCCACAAAAACCAAGAGATCGCATAATGATAATAATAATTATGATAGGAATGAAAAGTCTTGCAAATAGTGTTTAATAGCTGCACAGCAGTGTGTCGCACTCAGTTTCGAAGTTAAGCAAAGAAAAATATATTATTTGAATTGATATTCCAAAAATATTATTCTCCGGAAAAAATGTGATGTTATGCCTGTAATCGAGTGGTGGTTCCTAAGTTTATTGCAGTCATTCAAACTTTAATTATTTCTTAAATATGCGAATGTTTAGTTCCATATAAATACTCATATTAAAGGAAGAAGTACTCGGTGGTCTGAAGCTAATAGATATACTGGTATGTTTCAGGGAGGAAGGCGAAGAGAAGCCGAAGCCGACAGAGAACCAAGACGACGGGTACGAGACGAGTAATAGCGGTGAGGCGGCGCGTCGCAAGCCCTCCAGCGCTGAGGGCTCGCCGGCGCCGCCTGCCGAACCCTCGCCCCCGCCAGACCCACCCTACGAGCCGCTCATGCGGCACTACGAGCCCGAGCCGGAGCCCTACCGGCATTTCGAGCCGCCCGCTCCGCCTCCCCCGCAGCCCGAGCCACAGTACCAGCACTTTCCCTTCCCTAAGTATGGCGGAGACCCGTACGCGTTCAAGCGCGAGCCCGAGGTGCCGTACGACATGAGCCAGCACCACCAGTACGCGCCGGCGGGCAAGCGCGACGACGACATGTACAACGGCATCAAGCGCGAGTGCGAGGACCCGTACTCCTTCGTGGAGGAGGAGGCCATGTGTGCCATGCTGGCGCAGCCGCAGCACCACGCCGTGCCGCCGCACCTGCAGCACCACGACCACCACGCGCACATGATGCACCCGCAGCAGATGATGCTCAACCAGCCCAAGAAGCGCGGCCGCAAGAAAAAGATCAAGGACGAAAACGGGTCAGTACTTCTATCTGTATGCCACGATAGCTACCTCTGCCGCATCTCTTTCCCGAAACACTACTTTGTTCCCTGTACTGCAGTCACAGGTAGTGGCTGCCGGAGGACACCAGCGCCGTAGTATAGTGTAGCACCGGCGCGCACATGGCGGTGCAGCACGGTGACACAATTAGTGCGCGCGGCCGCTGACCCCGCCCGAATTAGCGATCCGCGCGCGTCCTACTTCCACAGCGGCGGAACCCGCGGTTGCGACCCACGCCTGAGCCCACCATGATATACGCTAATTCATAGCTAGCCCAGCTTGTGTAAAACTTCTGCATGGTTACTCATATTCGTGTTCCCATGCACTGTTGACATTTACACTCTGCTAAAACTTTTTCCGAGTAGCCTATAATAACGTTCGTTCCTAGTGAAGCCTGGTGTAGCGGCGAGTTAATTTCTTTAAAGGCTTAATGCCTTATCTAGTTTATTGCACAAGTTATAGAAACGCATCATCTCCGTTTATTCTGTGTAAAATTAGTGCCGCAGCTGAATGAGGCCACAACTGCTATCAAATAGATTTTTATAGCTCAAAATGAAACTAGCTGTGCAAATGACAAGTAAGTCGTGCGCACGCATCTTGAAATGTTGATGTGAAGAGAGCGCGCGCGGGGGTCGGCAGACAGCGGCGACAACCGGCGGTAATTAGCGCGTGTTGTGTTGTGGAGCCGCGCGGGCAGGACAGCGCGCGTGCGCGCACGCCGCCGATGTGTTTACGTCGCGGGAGTATTTCGGTACCGGAACCGATGCCGCACTATCGCTAGCCAAAAATCCGAGCGAAATAATCAGATCAAGGTAGAATCGTTGAAACGGAAAGCTGACGAATCTCGCTTTCCATCCGAATTTATTTGTTTAGGGGCGCGGGGCGAGCAACTGATTGTTCACGGAGATAGCGCATCATTGATTCGATATGAAACAATATCACATCAGTAGCCATCACTCCGGCGTGGGTAGTATCACAGCAACAATACCTTGCTGAATAGCAGCGTTAAGCTGGAAATAATCCGTTCCAAACACAGCCGATAGTAAAACGCGGCCGCGCCATTGCAGCAAAGCTCCTAGAAAGTAAAATGCGATAGAAAAACGAAAGAAAAACATGAATGAGCCAGACAGTGAGGCAATACTTTCACGGCACAAAATAATGTAAATGTGTCGCTCGCTGTTATTGCACTTTGTTGTGCGCACAATGGTGTCTGCCGGCGCTCCTTGTCACTGGTCGCTGGCGCGAAGCTGCTCTACGTAGTGCGTCCTGCTGCAGCCGCTGCAGGCACTGTGTACATCTAGACTCGGCCTGTCACGAGGTGTTCAATACTTGTAATTATATGAGTGCTGCACGTGTCGTTTTTCCCCATCGTTTGGGAACGGCAGTAGTAGCAGTTGTAAGTTATTCACGAGTCTTTTGGAACTAAAGGCTAACCTATTGATAAACACGGGGACAATCCCACGCTTTGTTCCTATTAAGAATTTTGAAATCGAAAATGTCAGTAAGTAATACTCTGTTCAACCTGGCAGCGGCAGTTGCAGTGCTATGGTATATGGTAGGATATTTGTTATTCTAATATGTATTAGGTTTTCGGCTTACTCACGTTCCACGTTTGACGAGGAACTCGACTAGTTTCAAGCCATACTAAAGGAATCGGAATGCTACTCATGTATATAAGATACATGAGTAGCATTCCGCGACACACGACTCACGACTGTCGCGCTGCTAATTTAATATGTATACGACCTCTTTCTAATTATTGATACTTAATTATAAAATTACAGTTTTTCCGGAAACACGGTATAAGCAAAAACATTATTATTTCACTTGCGTCTCACTGTAAATGGGTCGTTAAAATTTTCGAGGTAAAAGGAAAATTATCCTCCTCAATCTACCGCTAATCGCCAGCGGGCAACCTGGCTACTGTACAGTCACACTCAATAATATATAAACACTATAAAAAATATTATTTCATCTTGTTACTATCTTATGGGCCCTCCTTAGCTCTTGGTGCACTTATGTTACTTACCAGTGACAATACTATCTCATTGAAATGACATTTTCTTATATGGAACTGAATGATCGTCATTTGAATTGTAATCCCTGCGTAACATTGCAAGCCCGCCTAGCGGAGTCAACTACATGTGGTGAGTGGCAACTCTTACAACTATTCTCACATGTCATTCAATATTCAAATGAATTTATTTCCCTTCATTTGTGCATAGTTTGCTAAGTGCGGGGCTGAGGCGTGTAGTGACCGCAGTGTTTGTGCTTGTGTGGCAGCATGGAGCTGAAGGCGGAGCCCGGCATGGAGGGCGCGCTGGTGCCGCGGCCCGTCAAGGAGCGCAAGAAGCACGACCGCTTCAACGGCATGAGCGAGGAGGAGGTCTCGCGCCGCACTCTGCCAGACCACCTCGCGGAGAACCTCGACATCATCATTGTGAGTATGATCGCCGTTTACATCTCTCTTTACTTAGTAGAATGCTATTGTATGTGTTGCACACCAATACTTAGGACATTAGACTGCTTACTGCCCTTTATGACTAGTAGATGAAATAATTGCGATATCACAGTCAATAATATGGAATGTACACGAGTCACACCACTAATGTATTTTGTGATACACCAACACTAAACTAGTACATTTGTGACGATTGAATGTGCGATGAGAACAAAAATCATGCATGTCATTGTAAGGATAGATTCTTGCAATGTAAATGATGCTACATTACTTATTAGAATATACATACTGGTATTATGAGCATAATATCTACAAATGCGTGTGTATGACAGATCGGCATCAACCCGGGACTGTTCGCGGCGTACAAGGGACACCACTACGCGGGCCCAGGGAACCACTTCTGGAAGTGTTTGTACCTGTCCGGCCTCACACGGGAACAGATGAGCGCTGACGAAGACTACAAGGTGAGCAGCGCCGTGCAACCATCCCTGCAGTCTGCAGAGCGAGCAATGGCCGCTGTGACGTATTGTGTTGCAGCTGCTGAACTTCGGCATCGGCTTCACGAACATGGTGGCGCGGCCGACCAAGGGCAGCGCGGACCTCACGCGGCGCGAGATCAAGGAGGGCTCGGCCATCCTGCTGGAGAAGCTGCAGACGTTCCGGCCCAAGGTGGCAGTCTTCAACGGCAAGCTCATCTACGAGGTGTTCTCCGGGAAGAAGGACTTCTGCTTCGGCAAGCAGCCCGACACCATCGCCGGGACGAACACCGTGAGTGAGCTAGTAGACAGGCGGCCCGGCGCCCCGCCGCGGCCGCCGCGTGACCGCTGACTTGTCGCAGTACATGTGGGTGATGCCGTCGTCGTCGGCGCGCTGCGCGCAGCTGCCGCGCGCGGCCGACAAGGTGCCGTTCTACGCGGCGCTGAAGAAGTTCCGCGACTACCTCAACGGGCTGGTGGCGCACGTGGACGAGGCCGAGCTCGTGTTCCCCGACAACACCAGTCGGCGCCCGCAGGAGGAGATGGAGATCCGACGGTATGTCCCTGTCTCACTCTCTCCCGCCGCAGGGTCTCTACGTGACGTCTATATGTGGTCCGCTTCTGTCGAGTCAATATACTCATCGGGACGGTAATGTATCTACTATCTTGAATCATGTTCTCTTCTCTATGTTGCTCTTCATCATGGTATAATATCGTTGCCAATGGGATAACATACATTATGTGGAAGATTGCTTCTTTTTCTTTCATATGCTTAACTTGTAATTGTTCTGCTTTCCTAACCCTGTCAGGATCGCCTGCAAACTCTAAATCTCTCTTCTAATATGAGACGACTCGAGTTGTCTCTCAGCTTGACGCGACGTTTGTCGTTGAAAACTGTTTATATGATATTGTAGTGGCTACTCGTGTCTTACTAGGTTACCAGACTGTAATATAAAAGGCAACAACGAACTAGTTGAGTCTAGAACAACAAGGTACTTCAGAGCACCATACTAATTAGAATAAAAATATTTTTACGAATATTAATGTAGGGTGTCTGGTTGTCTAGTTTTCAGACTTAGTGTATTTTACTGTTATTTTATTCGAGCGTGAGTTCGTTTGGTATATTGAAAATTGATTCGCTTGTCTGTCGATATTTTCTTCACAAAGTTGCAAAAGCTTGAATATTATTTGTTAATAGCTCTAACTTGACTGCCGCAGTGAGTCTTTTGGCATGACAGCGGTTTATTGATATGATGATCATTTTATTTCTTTTAGTTTTTAGGAAGTTAGGTTATATGGCTAGTGTTGTCGTTAATTTTTTTTCTTAGTAATATTCAGAAAATATAGTATTCGTTAGTTACTTAATTGTCTTTTAAGTACTAACATTTTCTGTGCACTGCACTTGTCTTCTGTGCGTACCATTGTACCATATTGTACCATTGTACACTATCCCGTTGTAGTGTACTGTCCCGTTCTGTCTGGTACAGGTCTGCGGTGCTTGTGTGCTCGTTCGTTGGTACATGGTTACGTCCTCAGTCGATGAGATCAATTCTCACCAAACTGGAGCAAACGTTTGTCTGTTGTTGTCCTACTGTGCTTTGTTTACTATAGTTGATTAGTTGATGATACAGTAACGTGTAGTGGTGGGTAATGTATGCTGTAGTGCTGACGGCCCGTAGACCTTGTGTGAGTGTACGTCCCCTTTGTTACTGACCGGTACCTGTCGCCACCTCCCGATTGTTACAAGATGTGTAGTTTGTACTCATTGAACTTAGCCCATTTATTTCAAATTCTTCGATTGTTTCAGCCAAGCCAGCAGGTAATATAACTAACTCGCTGCCAAAGCATAACTTTTGATAGATTTGCGTAAAGACGTCGAGTTCTTCACGGTCGACCGTTAGACATATAGACATGACATCACATGCGACGCGAGTCCAGTAGTACGAGCCGCAATGGTAACTAGGCAGGGTGGGGAGCGGGGCCCCGCCGCCGCGCTGCTGTCTGCTGGCGCTTGTCTTGTATACGTGGCCGAGTTTGGTCTTAGTCAAACCTTGCGTAACTGCGAGTCATTTATTCTGGCATCGCGTTCGGTAACAAATGTATTCACAATACGGTGCCAGGTCACCGCCACAGACAGTAGCGCGGAGGCGAGCGAGGCGAGGCTAGGACGTAGGGCGGTAGGGCAGTAGAGTAAGCGCACGACAGACGTCGCAGTGAGCGCGCCACGTTGCAGACTGACGATGGAGCCGGAGCCGGGCGACACCATCATCCTGGAGGACGGGACCGAGGTGCCGCTGAAGAAGAAGCGAGGCCGGCCCAAGAAGGTCAAGCTGGAGAACGGCGAGGTGGCGCCCGCCGCGCCCCGCCAGCCGCGCGCGCCCCGCCCGCCGCCCTCGCTGGAGCCGCACGACCAGCCGCCCAAGAAGAAGCGCGGCCGGCCCAAGAAGATCCGCCCCGACGACCAGTTCCTGCTGCAGCACCCGGCGCAGCCGCTGCAGGCGCTGCACTCGCACGACACGCCCTACCTGGCCGCCGGCGACTTCCCCGCGCAGCTCCCGTCGCCGGGCCTGCTGTACCCGCACCAGCACCACCAGCACCACCAGCAGCTCGCGCCCGACTCCAACAACTACTTCCAGCAGCAGCCGCCCAACTCGGGTCAGTAGCTCTGTCGTTGCAATAATGTTTTTGTAAAGGTTTTCTTTGACGTAAATATTGAAAACATTGAGACATGTGAAGTGTGCTGTAACCAAATGTTGCCCTCGTGACAGAGAGCGGTCTGGGCGGTATGGAGTCGTCCGGGCTGGACGTGGGCGGGGGCGGGGCCGGCGGCGGGGGCATGCTGGGCGGCATGGCGCGCGGGTACGGGTCGCCGGGCGGGTACGCGGCGTCCCCGCGCGGCGTGTACGCCAGCCCGCGCTCGCAGGGGTACTCGCCCAGCCCCGCGCGCCCCGCCGGCACCCCGCAACCACAGGTACGTCGGCTCTTCGTCTTTGTAGCTCTCACTTGAAACCATCGTATAACTTTTATATTGTTTCTCCTTCTAATACTCTTCTTAATAATCCCGTGCAACATGTAGCGGGTTCATTTCCCGCACGGAGCGATTCTTTGTGTGATCCACTAATTGTTGTCTCTGGTTTGGGTGTGATTGTGTATGTGAACTTGTATGTTTGTAAATGTACGACACAAGAGAAAATGAAAGCGTGGGGCAAAGTTGTCTTTAAAAAAAATGACATTTACAATTAACACATCCAAACCTGTAAATAAAATACATATACCTACATAGAATGCTAAAGTATTAACATGTACACGGTGTATAGGAGTCTGGCGTGATGCACGGGTTCCCCGCGAGCCCCGCGTTCTCGGCCGTGTCCCCGCCGCGCGCGGGCTCCGGCGGCGGGTACTCGTCCCCCGCCGCGCGCGCCGCGCCCTTCTCCGCGCGCTCCCCGCTGTACGCGCACAGCCCCGCGCCCTACGCGCACCAGCAGGCACAGGTACGGCCCGGCGCCGCGCGCTCGCCGCCTCCGTGGCGCGCCCCCACTAACCCGTCGTGTCCTCCGCAGAGCCCGGCCCCGCAGGCGCGCTTCTCGCAGTCCCCGCACCCGCACCACCCGCACCCGTACTCACACTCCCCCGCGCCACAGGTCAGTGCCAACTACTTGTACTTTTTGTTTCATGGAATTACCAATTCCACAGTACAAAATAATCATTGTTCTTTGTAAATTATATTGAAGTATTACAATTGAATGTGTGTATTCAGTCGCAGGGTCGTCCGTTCTCGCGGTCGCCGGCGCCGGTGGGCGGGGTGGGCGGAGTGGGCGGGGTGGGCACGACCCCGTTCCCGCAGGCGTCCCCCGCGGGCGCGCTGCACAGCTACACGCCCAGCCCGGCGCACACGCCGTACTCGCAGCACTCGTCGCCCGCGCCCAGCCGCACGCCCACCTACACCGAGCCGCACCACTACCCGGGCGGCGCCGGCGCGGCCCCGGCCGCCGGCTTCGGCGGCGAGCTGTCGCACGAGATCGGCGCCGCCATCTCGTCGCCGGCGCCCGTGTCGCCCGGCATGGCGGCGCTCGACTTCGAGCCGCCGCGCGACGAGCCCGAGCGCGACCACAGCCCGATGGGCAGCACCGACATGCACCCCGGGTCCAACTCCAACTCGTCGCTGTCCGACTACAACAAGGTGAGTGGCGCGGCGCGCGCGCGCAGCCCCGCGCCGCCGCGCTACAGCGCCGTGTGCCCGCAGACGTCGGCGGGCAGCGACATGTCGCCGGCCGGCGCCGGCTTCGCCGCGCTCTACGACGACGCGCGCCTGCAGTACGCGCACCTGCACACGCACAGCCCCGCGCCCGACAAGGACCACTACTACCGCCAGGACCAGGGTACGTACGGCCCGCGCCCGCCCCCGCGCCCCGCCCGCGCCCGCTAACGCTCGTGTCTGTACAGGTGGCGGCGTCGCAGACAGCCCGCGGTTAGACCAGTTGCAGCAGCACCCTTCGTCCATGTACCCCACTAATTACAATAGGTGAGGTGACTATTTATTTTTCTATTCTAATAAACGACCACACTAAGATTTCCTCCTGTATCGTGGGTGCGTTTTCAAACATTCATTTCGGGTTAATTATTATTAATATTTATTTTATATTTTCTACAAAATAAAACCAACGTGAAATGGATGACATCATTATGAATGAGATGAACAAAATTATGAGAAATACAATGTCATCGTCAACCCATGAGAGTACAGCGATAATAGTTCCTTAGACTTTGTTTTGATTTTTTTGTTAAGTTACGTTATTTATTTATACTTTATTGCAGACAGAAAAATGATATTGTCTATTATTACTATTATTCGTTATTGTCTTATCTGAAAAAATGTGACATAGACCAGTAGAGCAACAAGTGACCACTAACTCCCGTGCCGCTCGCGCAGGTCGAGTCCGCCGGGCGGCGAGGGCGCGTTCTCCCCGCTGGGCGCCGCCTTCCGCCCCCCCTCGCACCCGCACCCCGCGCACACGCCGCACGACGCGCCAGGTACTCCGCACGGGCCCGCCTGCTTGCTGGACTTACAGGAAGGCATCTATTGTACTACGATGATGATGATGCCTCAGGTTCCCCGGCCGAGTACGCGGGCACTGTGAAGCCGAAGGCGCAGGACGTGGCGTCCAAGTCCCTGTCGGGGCTGGAGTCGCTGGTGGACCAGATCCCCAGCATCGCCGAGGGTCCCGGCGGCGCGAGCGCGGGCGGCGCGGGCCCCGCGGCCCCGGCGCCGTCCGACCAGGCCCCGGCCGCCGTGGCCGCGCTGCCCGACTACGCGCCCGCGCTGTACCCGCCCTACGGCGCGTACGGCGGAGCTGCATACGGGAACAACGGGTTAGTCAACTCTTACTTGTCCTGTTGCTTGTTTTGCCCTTAAAAATAAATTAATAGAAATTTAATTTTGTCATTAGTTGGGGTTATCAACTATTGTACGATCGTATAATACGGTCGTATCATATTCTTCTTTCTTTGTATTCTAAATATTTAATGCAGTTAAATTAAATACAGTGAAACTTGTTAAATGAGACATCAAGGGACCTGCAAATTAGTATAGGTACTTATAGTCGTTTTCCACTGAGGCACCGACTCAGTGTCTTAGATTACCAGGTATAAATAAATATTTGTCTCATTTACAGAGGTTCCATTAATTAAGGTGCAAAAAAACAGGTTATTTCAGACAAAAAAGTGCGATGCTTAAATAAAACATATTTATATTATGTGAACATTATACATAAGTTTCAGTTGGGACCTCAGTATGAGTTCCAGTTGTGGAGCTTTCTCACTTATCCAGGTCTCACTTGACCAAGTTTCACTGTATATTTGAAACGTACTCGTTTTGACCAATTGAGTGGCTGGCAGTGAGTGACGAGTGGACGATCGTTGCAGGTACGGCGGGCCGTTCGTGGGGTACGGCGGCGGCTGGGGCACGGCCGTGATGCGGCCCACGCCCGGGTACCTGTCGGAGTGGCAGTACGGGTACCCGGCCGGCGTGGCGGCGGGGTACGCGCCCTACAACGCGCCCTACTACAACGGGTACGCCGGGCCGCCGCCCGCGCACCACCAGCAGGTGAGTGGCCGCCGGGCCGGGGCCGGGGCCGGGGCCCGCGGCCGGGCGGGGACGTGACGATCCGATCCGTTGCAGGCGCACTACCTGTCGGCGCCGCCGCTGATCGACCTGCACAAGAACGGCGAGCACTCGGGCGGCGTGCCGGCCGTGCCGTCCGTGCCGTCCGTGCCGTCCGTCGGCTTCGGCGGCTTCTGTTAGTGTACATAGACTATCTCACTGCGGGGAACGAGTACTTCCTAGAGTAAGTAGTAAATTGGACTGAGTATCGAGGCGAGGGAAATGTTTTGTAAAGCAATCGTTAGTGATGTAATTTAATCTTTTTCAACTGAGGAGCTTAATTTGTAGGATTTATTTGTAAATATTGTATGTATTTTTATTTCGGTCCATCACATGTTACTTTAACCGATCGCTAGTTGATGACAGTGCCGTTCTGTTGGTCGTCGTTTAGTTTAGTAGGGCACGTCTGTGATGTGACTGGGAGGCGGGGGCGTGCGACAATATCGTACTTAATGTATTCGGAATGTCTGTGATCTTCAGTGATGTCTAACTAATAATTATGGCCATCGTTATTGCCATACTGAAAAGTAACTAGTGTTCGGAATTAGCGGCCGCGTGCTCGTAATACGAAGTCTTGCCAATGATGTGTTTCGCGTTCTAGTCACTTACTAATTCGTGTCGGCTAGTCAAATTGATGTCGTGTACCCTCGCCGCACTCTCTCGCTCCCAACCGATTGCTCCAACAAATATTGTATCTAAGTCACAACAACGGCCTATGAGATAAATAATGTATACCTTTATTTAGAATTTAATTTACTCTATTTATAATTCAAGTTTAGCATTTGATAACTATATTTTTATAGTCGCAGGAGGCGGCCATTTTATTGTAAGCGGTCTTTGACCTTTACCAGTGCACAAACGGGGCGTGCCTCGGACGCCGTGCATTTTACACAACGTTACCCGAACAGTTACATTAGCTTCGGATCGCTAGTGAATAGCATAATTTTACATAATGTTGTAACTTATATTTTACTACAGACGCGCCATTGTGGTGGGGCGGTAGGGTTACTTTAACGTTAACGCGATGCATAATGTTTACATAGGGTGCTGATGGGTTCGATAGTTTCCTTACGTGACGCGAGTCCTTGCGTCCGAGTCTTTATACTATGTTGTTGAAGTTTTACTTTGTTTTCACGGTGTATTAGGTATCGGGTCGTGTAGAGTAGATATATAGGTCCTGCATAGTCCGGTACAGTCTGTACAGTCTGTGGGACCGCAGGCGAGTCGTCCGTCGAGCCGCACTGTACAATGTACATAACGAGGGGAGGGTACGTCGGGAAGGTAAACAATCTTGTACAAAATTTTAAATTAGTAAAACTCTTTCCTTTGCACAAAATGATGAAGTCTTAAAGTCTTAAATATAAGCTAAAAAACGAAATAACATACGTAATAAAGACATATACGTTAATGATAGGTTTACTCGGAAGAATTTATATATAGTTAGTGGATGGATAGTTGGACAGTCACCGGAGGCAGGTCTCTGCGACATGTGACGTCACTATGCACATGATCTCCATTACGTTCTGGTCTGGCTTAGGATTAGGTTTACGTACGACCTCGTACACCACCACTATTGCAATGCGTTTTTTTATATTATTATTTTTTCGTATTTCAAAAGGGGAAACATGATTATTTAAAAATGAAATCAACAGGGTATTTAAGATTGCTTAAGATATATTATTTGACATATATTTATTGTGACTTGCGGACGATGCGCGGTTGCGGCGCATCGTGTTTAGTGTTACTGATCTTTGTTTAGTTGTGGTCGCGCGGGGAACTGTTCACAATAACAACGCCTTGTACATAATGAGTGCTTTATTACGCTTTTTTGATATTATTATATTTTTATTTAAAAATAATTATTATTATTACAATAACACTATTTCTATATTTTTGCTTTTATTTTGTACATTAACGATCATGTATGTGATTGGAAGGTTCTGTTTGCGTCCTGTTTCCGGGTACTGTTGGCACTAATGCGGTGACGTCACGTCTCGGCATTACTCTCATGGATACTCCGACTGGACGCGACACGCGGACAGCGCCGCGCCGGCGCGCAGGTCGCCGCCGACCTGGGCTCCGACGTCCCGCGACCGACGCTCGGATACGATCTGTGATCTGTTTTAAGCGATACTCTAGTACTTAAATCAGTTTTTATAAATCTCATTTCTTTCACAATCGCTAGTAATTTGTATAGATTTTATCTAAAATGTCGCGAGTCGTGGCGCTTCCGCCGTGAACGAAATAAAGGCCTACACTCGCTGCCACTGGTGGGCGCAGACGACGGGCCCGGTACTGGGCACTACTAGGCAGTAACTCGTCCGAGTACTCGGCCCGTGCGCTCTGCGCGTCACTTGTATTTCTAAGTTTTCTTGTCTCGAATAAGACTTATCGGCCAATATTCCTTCCTGCAACAGAGTGCAATGTCGGGAGATTAATGTTCTGTCTCGTAATCATTATCTGTATTGTTATTATTATATTTTCATTTACATTGTAGTTGTCGTGTATTATAGTGTCGTTAAGGGCCGCTTGCACTTAACCGTTCGGCTGACACGAGTGACTTTCGACTTTCCTATCAGGTGCATAAAGATTAGATTTGTACGATAGCATAGAGGCGAGCGGTGAGGTCGGTCGTGCTGGACTAAACTGTAGCTTAATATAATAAGTCTCTATCAACGAGTTAGTGTTAGTGTTGTACTCGGCGCGGCGGCGCCGGCGGGCACGCACGGGCACTCTGCGCGGGCACTCTGCCCGGGCACGCACCGGTCGCCCGGGCCGGCCCGCGGCGTCGCGCTCGCTGCCTCTTATCTGAGTAGTGGTTAGGGTTGACCAGTGTATGCATTGAGTCGCTCAACTATTTGTACAATATGTATATTTTTGTAAAATTCACTCTAACTCGAGGCAATATTTTAAAAATTATCTATAATATTAAAAATTAGTACAATTCATTGTTATACAGCTACGTGTCTCGTTGGGTTCGCTCAGCACGTGCTGTAGAGAGCATCCTGCCAGTGGGCGCCTATAGTTGCACGACTCACGAGCTCGCACTGCCGTCGCCTGGGTAGTAGGTTCGCGCCCCGGCGCCGCTTGGTTGTGAATAGTATCGCTTACCCACTCCGTCTGCTGTCGTCGCGTTCATCCGTTGCTTCACTCAGTATTGTCGTGCCAAAACATACGTAAATGCAGGAGTAACAAAGCAATATCGTAACTAGATAGTCTCGAACGAAAGCAATAATATCTGGGCGAGTGGACGCTGCACTTGACTCTGTACTTCGCCTCTGTAATGAAATTATATTTTGAAATGTCGCGTCACTTGCAGTAGTTTGGTACAAATAGCATTTATCGTTGGTGGCACAGCCCCCGCACCACTCACCCGTCAACTTGATGAACTTTTATTTATTTAAGCTGAGTGAGTACTTCGTGCCGCGTATTGCGGCCGCTCGGTGTCTGCTGCGGGGGCTCGGCACCGACCAGAAGGCGGAGGTCTTATCCTAGCTCAATTTTATTAATTATTATATTATACTTGCTTGTTATTCATCGTTGAAATATAGTTATTTTGAACCTTGGCTGCCTCGTGGCTCCATTTTACTAAACCGTTGAAAATTATAAGTACATAGAAATAAATGTTATCGCATATCATAGTGGTCTCGTAATCCCAGTGTGAAGACAGCCAAGGGTTTGTTCCAGAAGCCTGCATTACTCAAACAACTCGCATTTGATTACGGTGCTTGTTTATCATAGTCATGCGAGGCGAGGCGGCGGCGGCCGAGGTTTGGTTGCACTCGTTTCGTCAATTATTTACTGTGAGAGGCGCGCGCCGCCTCGCCTCGCATTATAATAGTATAAGATCCCGTTATAGAACGACCTTCACCGAGATGCTTATTTAATGAAACGTATTTTATATTTAATTTAATATGTCAATAAATATAATCCATATGGGTTGCCTAGCAAATTTCAGTCCAGAGTATGTTTAATTAATAATTAAAAAAAAATATTTTTTTAAACATTTCACCGGTATGATTATTAGATAAATTCTATACCAATCGAAAGTATGAAGCCCATAGAATACACAAACGTTAGGTTGCCTATTCTTTTCCGGTCACAACTATCGGGTTGCCAGGTATAAACAGGTAAATCTGTACTAGCATTTTGCAACGTTCTGTTTATTGGATGAAATTTAAATCAAATTAAAGATTATTTTATTCTGAACACGGTGGTATAGGGTTGCCAGCGAAAAATAAGTCCAGAATTGCGGTTGTCGAATTTTAAAAAGTTAAATATTGCTCCGAGTGAATGTGTGCGACTGAGAGGTCCCAACCAACCATCCCATGCGATAGAAGAGGACACAGCATAGCAGCTGTGTAAAGTCCGGTCATTTAAAGAAAGAGAGTGCGCATGCTCTTTGGGCTTGGAAAAGAAAAGGATAGCGATAGACTATGCATCATTTTGGAGTAGAGTGTCGCTATAAATACAATTGAAAAAACGTGCTACTATTTATTGTTGGAAAAAATGGCAAAAAAGTGTTTTTTGTGTGGATCGGATGGTGAAATAATTGACTTTAATGATGAAACTTTCAAAAACTGTGTATTAAAGTTAGCTTTTCGTAAAAAAAAACACTTTAAATACAATTTTGTTGAGCTACCCAGTGCGTCTCTTCAATTTGTAGGTTATCATACCACGTGCTACAAGAAAGTGACCGTTTTGAATAAAAAATATAACGAAGAATTTCTTAATTTTAGTGTTGAATATACAGTAAGTACATAATAATTGAATCTTTAAAATTATCTTAGCTAATACATCTTCTATATTTTTTTCATGTTTAAATAATTGTTAGTAAAATTCGCCTATGGTTTTGTTAATTTTCGACATACATAATTTTTTTGTAATTTACTTAAAAATGGCAATCTATAACCATAATAAAACTGTAGAGAAGTCAATTTTGTACATTGAACATATTTTTAAAATTAATATTGGAGTATGATTGGTGGTCGATACTGATGCCAAAAAATGCAATAAGTATTTTTTTTGTCTGTCTGTCTGTCTGTCTGTCTGTATGTGCACGCATAAGTCAAAAAGTACTGAATAGATTTCGACCAAACTTGGCACGAATGTAGTCCATACTCCTGGGCACTAGTTTATAAATTAAACAAGAAAAAGATCTGATTTCTTTTTTTTTTTTGTAACAATTAATGAGGATGTTTTCAATCAACTATTCTTATCAAGAAGTTTATTATATCAAACATTTTCATTTAATCGCAAAATTTTTTTTTTTTTTTTCGAAAATTAACAAAACCATAGGCGAATTTTACTAACAATTATTTAAACATGAAAAAAATATAGAAGATGTATTAGCTAAGATAATTTTAAAGATTCAATTATTATGTACTTACTGTATATTCAACACTAAAATTAAGAAATTCTTCGTTATATTTTTTATTCAAAACGGTCACTTTCTTGTAGCACGTGGTATGATAACCTACAAATTGAAGAGACGCACTGGGTAGCTCAACAAAATTGTATTTAAAGTGTTTTTTTTTACGAAAAGCTAACTTTAATACACAGTTTTTGAAAGTTTCATCATTAAAGTCAATTATTTCACCATCCGATCCACACAAAAAACACTTTTTTGCCATTTTTTCCAACAATAAATAGTAGCACGTTTTTTCAATTGTATTTATAGCGACACTCTACTCCAAAATGATGCATAGTCTATCGCTATCCTTTTCTTTTCCAAGCCCAAAGAGCATGCGCACTCTCTTTCTTTAAATGACCGGACTTTACACAGCTGCTATGCTGTGTCCTCTTCTATCGCATGGGATGGTTGGTTGGGACCTCTCAGTCGCACACATTCACTCGGAGCAATATTTAACTTTTTAAAATTCGACAACCGCAATTCTGGACTTATTTTTCGCTGGCAACCCTATACCACCGTGTTCAGAATAAAATAATCTTTAATTTGATTTAAATTTCATCCAATAAACAGAACGTTGCAAAATGCTAGTACAGATTTACCTGTTTATACCTGGCAACCCGATAGTTGTGACCGGAAAAGAATAGGCAACCTAACGTTTGTGTATTCTATGGGCTTCATACTTTCGATTGGTATAGAATTTATCTAATAATCATACCGGTGAAATGTTTAAAAAAATATTTTTTTTTAATTATTAATTAAACATACTCTGGACTGAAATTTGCTAGGCAACCCATATGGATTATATTTATTGACATATTAAATTAAATATAAAATACGTTTCATTAAATAAGCATCTCGGTGAAGGTCGTTCTATAACGGGATCTTAGACTATAAAGTACAATTTACCTTAACCTGTGTCGTATGACGTATTATTGACGAATGTTTCCAGTATTGTGACTGTTGAGCGATGTCGCATGTTCACATCTGATCGTGATTGGTTCGTGTGTCCGTTTATAATATTTACGCTAGCGGTAACACTAAAGTTGATATGTTTGTACAGTTTTTAACGATACAACTACTTCTCGTAGTGACTAAGCAAGAAATATTTTTAGTATATTAAGATCTAATCGAATTACATCATAGTGTAACATAATAAATATTCGAGGTCGATTTTTCAAAATTTCGTTAAACTTTGTATGGTCCTTCGGAATATTTGGTTAAATTGCATTATGGATAACTCTCATCTGAAACTGACTCCGTGGAATGTAATTAGAGTTTAAACAGGAAGAATTTTAAATATTGAAATACAACATTTAATAAATAAGTAATGTATTATAAATAGTTTTAAGGTAAAAAGTTATTATTAACATTGTATGGAAAAATTGTGACAAAAATTATAGTCATTTGTAATATTACAGTGTTGTTTCATTAACTTGTTTCCTGTGTTGCAATGTTTATGTTACCTTCTCAATTGTTCCTATAAGGAGGTGTCCATTATTGTAATAAAATGAAGTGAACTGTTTTTGAAATTTTTTGGCCTCCCCTTCTCTGGTGAGATTTCGTAAGATTTGATTCAATTCCTTCCCTATCTTCCAATCCCAAGTATTTTTTTATAAAATGTAAGTTTTCAAACAGTTATGTACCATCAACTACTGTGATCAGCATCAGTGTAACCAACAAGCAGTCAGGGTTGACAATATCACACTGAACGAATTATATATATTGTTGTATGTATATGAAGCGACGCTTTTTGCTGTTGGTCGTGTCGGACAGAGTAAACACGAAGCTGATAACATTGGTAACGCAAAATATAACTTAAGTTTCAATTACTCAGTTCCTCATCCTTGCGCTTCAAATAAAATTTATGAGATAGGAGGCATTAGCACACGCATTACCTAATGGTAAGTGATCAGCGTCGCCAATGGACACCCGTAAGATCACCAAAGTTACGGCGTTCAGACTTTTAACTATCCAAGTTCTGCTGCTGCAGAATTTTCTTAGATTACTTTACATCAGTCGGCCCATCATATACTCTGGGAGTGTGATCTCTGGCAATGTGAAAGTAACACTATGTTAAAAAATTTAATTAATAATTGTTTCGTCAGGTATGTATAGCTTATTATACGGACCTTGTGGAATCTAGAACGAATTTCCGTGCGTTTAGGCGTTTTTGCCATACCTATTATGGGAAGCAAGTATAACAGCTCACACATAGGACCCACTTAGTTTTTAGTCAAATTTCCGTGGTGCTTGGCGACTGGGCTTTATCCAGTTGTACAGTCTCTTCTTTGTGCCTTTAGGCTTAATTAATTCTGTCTCCTGCAGTAATAAACTATAGTTTTTTCTTCTTCTCTTATAATATCTTCTGATTCACTTCGTTGCGGGAACCAAGACAGTTACTCATGTCCCTGGGACGCGCCGGACTTCAGTGTTCCGGTGTTTTCATGGTTGTATCTACTGTAGATCCTGGCTTACAGGAGTTGCAGCGGTTTTGGGAGGTTGTGGCGTTTGACCCTTTTAAAAAAGATTACATCGTCGACAAGGTAACAAGTTAGTGATATGATGTGATAAGTACTAAGGACCGGTATGTTACTAGGGGCTCTGTGGCGTGGTAAGTTGAACGAATTAGTGTAGTTTATGAACCATGCGGTAGGTAAGTATATCGTTTCATTTCTTTAATGCATTATTTGGCGTTATACTTGAAACTTATCTCCGGTGGCCTGTGGCGCCATCCCAATTATTTTTGGGCAAGGGTTTGGGCATTATATCTTTGAAACAATTTTCTCCTGTGGCGCCATCTCAATTAGTCCTTGTTCGATTCGACTTATTTACCTATTTAATATAGCATAGGTTCTCTACTGTTTTGTTAACGTATTAGCTGCATTTCTGTGCCTATCAATATATTGGGTCCATTATAATTATATAAAGAGCGTTATTATTTACTCGAAAGAAAGAATATTATGTAAGTACCTAATCTGTTTTTTAGTAATTTTGATGAACCACAAAACTTCTTCAAAAATTATTGATAAGAAAACATGAAAAGCTCTTGAGTCCAGCAGTCACTTATCAGTATTTAAATAAGAATTTATACTATTGAAAAAATAATCCATATGCCAAAAGACGCGTTGTTCAAACTTACAAAGAAAAATAAATGTCATTGACCTTTAGATGTTACCACGGAAAAAACATATTTTTTCGGTGGATGTTACCATCCCATCAAATCACATAGGTCTAAACTCTGCTTAGAATATTTAACCAAAATAATTTATGATACCAAAATGCATTATAATGCGTTTTGGGTATAGAGTACACCCTTAGATTGAGGGCGGGAAATTAAAATGTCCTGCTATATGGCTATATAGACAATATTTTTTAGTCACACTAATATTATAAATATGAAAGTTCCTCTGTAAACAGACAGGATTTGGGCTGACTTAGGTGATAGGATACTTTTTATCCCGATTAAATGCTCCTATGGGATAAATAGGTATCATATTCTTCGCGGACGAAGTCACGGGCAACAGCTAGTATAATATAAATCTAACAGTGGCAATAGTCGTAAGCAAAATTAGGTGGGTAATGAGCGTATTATTCTTAATACACGTAGGTACTATGTAGAACATGACATATTGACAATAAAAGTATGTGATAATAAACTAGTACATGTAGACATTTCACGAACTAATGGAGTACTGTGGCGCCATCTTCATTTAATGCTTTTCGATTCATTGACAATTTTCCACATTGAAGTGTATAGATACGATTAGGCACTGGATTTTTTTTTTTTTTTTTTAAGGGGGGAAAATCATCGAATGACTGCTCCCGCCTGGGTGAGGCGGAAGGGAGTGTCAGACTCTTACTGACTAAAAACCACCCCGTTCCTTCTCCTGCACGTCGACTGCGCGCTTACGGTGGCCGGAGATCGTCTCGCGATCCCCGACGCCCGGTGTGTCCTTCGCGATGGCTGGGTTGCGAGGAGGCAGCGCTTCGCTGCCTCACGCGTCCCGCCTCCTCCTTAGCTAGCATGACTGCTTCGCAAAAGGAGGAGACGGCATCCCAATCCCCCTCGCTCCGCATCATGGCCCGCACTAGGCCCGGACGCGAGAGGTCGCCATCGCCGATCACTTCCCTGAGGGCACGGCGGTGCTCAGCCCATGCACGGCATTCTCCCACTGTGTGTTCCACCGTGTCCTCAGGGCGGTCCTCGCAGTGATGACACCCGGGCGTTTCCTCCCGCCCCATCAGACACAGGTACCTCCCGAAACTTCCATGTCCGGTGAGGACCTGCGTCAGGCGGTAGGTGAGGACGCCGTAGCGTCTCTCAAGCCACTCCTCAAAGAGGGGACTTACCGCTGCAATGGCAGCGAGCCCAATTAGGCACTGGATAGAACAAAAATATTTACATCTCACCTCCAAAGTGAGAAAATGTTAAGAAGGGAGGCAATAGGTTATCGTGCTAAGATACATATCTAAATTAAAAAATACCTATTTGGCATTTCATCTCGGGGGTAGGTCGAAGCATCACTTATTGCGATTCGAAGTCTCTTCTTTAGCGTCTATTTCAATATTCTTTAATATACACGTCAATACACCGCGTGAGGCTTACGAGGGACGAAAATTATCCAACAAAGGTTTAATAGGTGATTATTACTATACGCGCCATAAAAGTGCATCCTAGAACAGTTTCCCTTCATACCCATTACACATTTATTATGTTCGAAAACTAGGTATCTAGTTATAATAACTAGTTAATTAATTTTAAGATTTTAAATGCATGTTTGAAACACGAAGTTACAAGTTAAGTTCGTGACTTCATGGTTTAAAAGCCAGATATGAGTATTTTTAATGACGGTACTCAATGAATTAATAAATTCGACTCAATAGACTATTGTCAGTAGGTAGTAGGTACCTACATATAGGAAATTATTATTTAATTTTGTTCTATGTTGAGATTGAGATTGAGACAGCGCACGCGCACTTCATTCTGTCACAGACAAAACTTCATGAGCATTTTTTGCTACTCTAGCGCCATTGTGAAAGGATTTGGAACTGTTATTTATTGCTTACGGCTAGACAGGCAATTTCATGTAGGTACCTACTTACCTATTAGTGTATGTATACAAGCCATATACAAGCTAGTATGTATCGTAGCGATTTGACATTATATGTCAAAACCATAGACACAACCAACTGCGTCAAATTTGCAAAAGGCTGTTTAAATGTCTTGATTGTTAATTTGCTCTTAATTAATTTAAAAATCTACATAACCAAAGATAAGATGAACGTTTATGCTTAAAAAAATATGAGTTTTGAATTTTGTAATAATAATTAACAATTCGATTTGCAAGATTTTTCATTACTTGTGGAAGATGACATCATAAAAACCAAATTTTGATGGCTTCGAAACCATAGACAATTTGTACTGTCCGAGAGTCTCCGAAAAGAAAGATCGGTGGATCGCCTGTAGATATCGGTGTGGATTGCGATGTCGGATATTGGCAGCGGTGACGAAGGGATTTCTAGTCAGAGTACGTATTTATTTACAGCGGTGTAGCGTCGGGAATATCTCACATTTCGCGCCGCGTCTGTTAACCGTCACTGACGTCGTCCCCGACGGTCCTAACGATCAAAAGTAAATATCTCATTGTTCCCGTTTCAAAATGGCGAATTTAGGTCTGTTATATCTCGAACGCTAAGGCTTCCGAGGGATCCTCGCGCGTGACAGTCCCTACGCTAACGGGTAGCGGCGCGACGGCCCGCCCGGGACCGGCTCCTGTCGACCGCCGGCGGAGGTTGACGACCTATCGATTTTTTTGTCTGCGACCTCTCGTCGTCGGGCGGGCCGGTGTCGGCGGCCGAGGTGGCCGAGACGCTCCGGGCTCGGCGGAGGCGGGCTGGTGTCGGGAGCCGCACGTCGCCGCGCCGCTCTGCACCGCATCGTGTCGCGCTTTGTCTCGGCCGTAGTCAGCTGAGCGGCGCGCCACCATGGCAGGTCAGTGGCCGCGCCTCCCCTGGCCCTTGCCTCTCCATGCTTACCCACTGACCTCGCTAATTTTATTAGAACCGGTGTGATGGAACCGCTGTCGCCAGGCAGATGCGGCATTGCGATACTTCTAGTCGGCAAGTTCTTTGTTCTCGTACGATACGGCCGCGATATTGATGAGTGCTCCGCTCGCGAAGTACTCTCTCGTTCTCCAGTGCAGTAGTGGAAGTGTAATATGAGTGCTCTGTGGACTACTTTTATTCAAGAAGTTACATGAACAAAGACTTGCTTCTTTGTTATACTGAATAACTGAACAAAGAAAACTGTAAAGAAGATTGGATTTGACATTGTGTTCAACCGGAAGAGTGTGTCCAGGATAGCAGTCAGCTCAGCAAACATCAATTGGTGCAGTGACAGGAGTGAGGTGTGTGGTGAGGTGTCAGTCTGTGTAAGTCGATTTTGTTCTAATCGGCAGAGCATGCGTAAGCTCTGTCAGTATCCATGGAGAGGTCTCATCATTAATTGTGCTATCACCAGGAGTAGTACCAGGGCATAGTGAAGATTTAGTTTCAGTACTATGATCCCATTCGTACCAAACTTAATTTGTTTGTAATTTCCTAATGCACAAAACCCTGCATGGAATATTACCCCATAAGAATGGTCTTATAAGAACTTCACACTATTGGAAATAGCAGTATAGAACAAATTATGTATCTGCATGTAATACATGTACTAGGCTTTGGGACAATTATTATGTGTACATGACATAATCAGCTGTTCTTACACAATCTGATAACATTGATTACAAAATTATTGAAACATATCTTTGCTTGGAGTAATTATTGTATTTTTTGAACTAACTACAGTGATTGCATGTTGCTCTTTTTTAAGTTTGCAGTGAAATCGACTGGCAATGTGCATAAAGAGGAAATTTAGGATTCATACATGAGTGCAGTCATGCGAGAATTAACTGCATAATATGTTTGTTGCAACCTTCAGTGTATTCCACAATAGCAAGTTTGTATAACATTTGCCAAAATGCTTAAGCACCATATGTATATCTGGAAGAATCAAATCATCATGATGAACAGGATAGTATAGTTTTCAGATTAGAATAGTGAGTTCTGTATGAACCGTCCTGCATTATGCCACCAAGCAGGAACTCAATAAGCACTATGCGACATGCACTGTGACATCACATTTCATAATATAATTTTAACAAATCTCTATTTCAATGTGTAAGGCATGCTGGGAATCTGTTTAAAACGGACTATGTAAGTTTACATTGGAAATTGGCATCCTTTCAATTTGCTTTGACACACATTTCTTTAATACTAAATGTTTTATGTTATTAAGGTTATACTTTGCTACTAGCTCCATACCTCTAGGCTGAAAAGGAATTGTATTCATTAAAGGGGCTGAATATGGCATCCACCAGTGAATATTCTTTATTAATTGTCTACAAGACAACTGTGGGATATCTATGTTCCGAGTTTGAGTTTCATCTGATGATATGTTGCAATCTTGTTTTCACAACTGTCTAGAAACATGGCAGGCTCGTCTTGCTTACTTACTGATGAATTAAAGACAAACTGGAGTGTTATACTATTGTAACCAGTTCTTCATGCTATGTTATGCTGTTGTTATGTTATGTTATGTTATGCTGTTACTTATTGTTTCCATTTTTCATTCTTGTTTTTATATCCAATGATTTTTAAAATACCTTACAATGAATATACTAAATGAAGAATGGTTACTGTCAACATCAGTGACACCAGAGAGAGGTGTCGCAGCAAACCTGTCACTCATCTAAAGCCTATTTGCCCAACAAGCAGAAAGTCAATGTTCCGAGTTCTAGCAGCCATACTCTTTCATAGAAACATACTTTATAATAACTAGCATATTTGCTGTAGTGTGGGGTAGTTCAGTTCGAGCTTGAAGTCAGATTGTGACTCTGACAGATGACGTTCTAGACTATATCAGTGATGTGTGTTAATTTTATTGTCATTATTTTACTGTAGTAAATCACTACCCATGATCAAACCAATTCCGCTTATACATATTGTGGGTCAAACAAGCAACAAGAGAATAAATTACTAGAATGTATGTAATATGTTGATTTACTTGTTATCTTATACTAATATATAAAGTGGAAGAGTTTGTTTGTTTATTTTGTTTGTTTGTTTTAACGTGCTAATCTCCGTAACTACAAGTCTGATTTGAATAATTATTTTTGTGTTGGATAGCGCATTTATCGAGGATGACTATATGGCTATGGCTAGGACCAATAGGAGCTGAGCAGAGTGTGTGAAACCGCACGGAAGTAGCTAGTAACTCAATAAACTTATTACTGAATTTGAGCAAAATCAATGAATCATCTATAAAAATATACCATTGAATTTATATTAATTTGGTCAATGAATAAACACCAAAAAAAAAGATATTTAAAAACAACAAGTAATGACTAGTGTAGGCTGACCTGTAGTAGTATGTAAATGAGAATTAGTTCTATTTTTGAAACCTTTCATTGTTCAAATACACAAAAATGGAAGCTTCTAAATATATGTATTCAGAGTACTACTACTACTTCTTTATACTTGTATTGATTGTGAGTTGTGGCACGATTTCCTGAAAGTACCTTTGTATGAACAGATACCATCTCTGTTTTGCATTAGTTTAAGTCATAAAATGTCAGACCCAAGAAAGACAGTGGGCATCCAGGTAGTTCAGGATTGTTCTTAACTAAAAAGCTCACATATTTAAAGTTTGGAAGAAAATACAAATATGGTTAGATTCTCCAAAGAACAACCATCATGAGCAAATGATCCCGCAAAGGATAGTTTTGCCGATTTGGATATTCAGTTAGGCCACGACTGCTAGTCGCGAGTTGCGTTACTGAAGTGAATCTATAAAGCTGAGACACAGACGACATTCTTTTTTTTATTTTTGAATTGGTACATGCGATTTTCAAATATAATAACTTGATAATACAGCATGTGAATCAGGACCACAATTCTCAGGGATTTCGCTTTAAGTTGCCAAAATACTAACGATTACGTCAGCCACTTCTCAAGCTACATGGTAATGTGAACAGGACGAGTCTATCTCTAATATTATTATTTTATTCATTGACAATGTCTTATGTTGCCAGTGCTCCAAATAAAAGTGATTGCCAAATGAGCCGCACAACAATTACACGAATTTCGATTAGTCTGTGGTACTCTGTATATGATACAGCTCTTATAGGTACAGCTCTTATAGGTACACAACGTGTCAGCCATTTCGTTTCTTCATTCATTACCAACCGTGCCGCGGCTGTGGTTTTTTTTTATGAAAAACACAGGTTTCACTTTTTTGCCCGTCTGGCTTATGTCTGCAACAATATCGTCTGCTGCCAATGACCCGCCTTGAACTACTTACATAACTACTTTAAGTGTCTCTTGGCACACACTCTTACACCTTATTGGTTGTTTAACTTTGTGATAGACACCCTAGATCGGGCCCCGCGGTGCCGCTCGAATTGTTTAACCGACTTTTAAAAATGGAAGAGTTATCTTTTTATTGGAGCTTTTACGACTCAATTAATTGTCTGTTGATTTTTATAGTGCGCGTACGACGCCGACGACATTTTGGAACACTGCGTCACTGTTTGCTATTATTCAGGTCATGCGCAACGCTTAGAAGATTTGCAAAAAATGAGTAAATATGACGCCTGGTGCGAACATGGCGGTGCGGTGTCTGCGTAAAGAGGTCATTAGTATGTTGTACCGAATGAGACTTCGCGAACTCGTGTAAAAGAACGTATTAGGCACTAATAAAGGACAAAATTCAATGCAAAAATTGCTATCGCGGCGCCGGCGGTACACTCTCAGTTTTATGACGGTGATGGCCTAGATTCTGATCCTCAATTCTTTTAAACATATCTAAGTTTAGCCGTCACATTATCACGCCAGAATATGGGACGAATGCGAAATGATAAAGTTGCTTGACATCATAAGCTTAACAAACGATTTCATTGTTAGCTAATACGTAATTGGACAGCAACTACTGGATCACAAAGCGTATGCATATTGATATGTCTCGGCTCAGGGAGGGGTCAGCACCAGAGAATGAAGAAGTTTTCAATCATTTATAATCATAATCTGAAAGACAGTATCCAAGTCAACCCTGCGGAGAACCTAACGGGTAACCGGGGCTCCGGCTCGACGTGCAGGAGAAGGAACGGGGTGGTTTTTAGTCAGTAAGAGTCTGACACTCCCTCCCGCCTCACCCAGGCGGGAGCAGTCATTCGATGATTTTCCCCCCTTAAAAAAAAAAAAACCATACCAAAAAACGCTTTTTGGGGCATTGTCAAATGGAGTCATTGAAATTGAGAAATCAAGAATACATTTTTAAATGGATTTTTGAAAAGCGTGCTACGAATTTATACTTATCATCTAACTTTTTTAAACTCGTTTGACCTTTTTAAGGAGCTTTTAAACTAAGCTCGAGTGAGAGCATTGAAATACAAATGTTTTCGCAAGTGACCATAAAAATTATGTCTTTGCCCATGTTTGTATTGCCGGTATCAGTCTTACACCATCTAATCATACACGATTACTTATGCAACTTGGAAAAATATGATGGGTACAACATTGCGAAAATTTAGCGTAGTACGTATGAATTTGAAGGTTACAAAACTTATATTGTATGTGAATTCAGATTAATCTGTCATACAGGTTGATTCAGATTCCGTTCTAAGACTAACTACTGCTGTTACAGAAATGATTGCAAAATAAGTATTTTTTTTTTATTCGGAGACCCTGTAGAGCAAGTAGTAATTAAATAAATAATTAAAACAGTCGTCTACCTTAATAGTTACGATTAAACTATGAAGTATAGAGGTCTGAACACTTCGATTCTCACTTGGATCTGTTTTAACCGAAGTGAAGTTGCGGACGCCATTCTTTCGTACACTATGTATTGTTTGTCTACTACCAGGGGCTGCATTGTTTAGGACATTTTGAATAAGCATGGAATGTGTTTAGGTAATTAGAAAACAGTAAATAGTAATTACTTTGAATTACGTATTAGCAATACTATTGAGCTGACAATGTCCTCAAGATTTATCAGACATTAGGACTTGGACGTTTGTAAATGTATAATCGGTGCGGGTGTCAGTGAGTGCAGCACCACGTCGGCGTGTTATGTTGGCGTTCAGCACGCAGTCGCAGTCTTCATTGATCGCTTTCATTGCATCGCCCAAGGTTACACGCTGACGTATCACTCAGCTTCGCCCTAATACTGCATCCTATACTACGATACAATAATGTTGTCTTCCCAAGTCATACATTTCACACATGGATAGTTCTGCTGCTAATCAGTGCATATTTAGCACTTGCTGGTCGAGTGCGGCTTGACCAACATGGTCGCGGTGTCGGCGGTGGGTAACTCTATACGAGTGACCTCTACCCATTCGGCTGTGACTTGCATCGATACTTTGCTTTCTATAATAAACAATTATAATTATATACTTTGATATCCCTGTTCTGCCTAGATATCAAGCGGAGGTTAATATATCAATATTTCATGGAAATGCTCCATGATAACGTCACGCGATCTTCGCACCTGTCCCAAAGGAGTTGATCTCATCGTTAACTGCTGCAAATAGTGACGTATTTCAGGATGGTGCTGTATTGTGATATATTTGCTGAATCGATACACGCATCGAGCTCTACTTTTGATAGATTTCGTAGCAGGTTTCTAAAGAACGATGTCGGTTCTTTCGTGTAGGTCGCTTCCCGGACACGTTTTGTACAGATGTCCGGTGATCATTTACCAGTTACAAGTGGGAGAAATACATCGTTACATTAGTATGTCGGATATGTCCGCATTATCTGAACTAGATACTAGACACATTATAGTGCGCAAATTTCTTATGATTCATTTATAGCAGGTTTTCGTAGATACGACAGCGAATCTAAGACTTTTTAGTTGAAGTTTTGTGAACTATTTTCACATTAATTCTTGAATCCTTCTACAATATCATCGAATATTGGCTAGAATATAATTATAATTATCACAGACGTAAGCCGTTCTTAGTCCTTCGTTACTATAACAAGTCGAGACAGGTCATGTCATACATCAGACGTAGAGATGCTACATACTTACGTTAAACGTGACTGTTTGTCTGTTGGTCTGTTTGTCAGCACCACGGGGCCCGAGCAGATACAAATTAATTAACCTGGTATCACTTTATATCATTTAACTTGATTATGAATTTAATCATGGATATCAGTAGTGTAATATTTGCCAATAAAAATACGAATACCATGTTCTAAGTTTCTAATGGTTGCGTGCAGTGCAGAACTTGTAGTTTTCTCGAATTTTCTCGTCAATTTGACATACAGCCACACCGCTGCTGCATTCAAGCTGCACGTAAACTACATAAATAACGTTTTATGTCATGTTTTTTTTACCAGGAGCGACTGCATACTGCATATATACTGGTACACGACACTTCTTCAGTATTCTCGTGAGATTGCTTTCCATGCTTAGCTACATACATTTGCTATTTTCTCGCTTTCTCCAAACGTCACATAGGCCCAAAATGTTACGCAATACAGTATCCGATATGTAGGTGTGTTAACGCGTCAGAAGGCACATTATTATGCAAAGCCAAAAACGTTTGTAAGGATGTTTCGGACAGCACCTGCAATTATTATATCAACTAATGGAGCGGGTGTAATTAAATGCCGCGTGCGTTGCGTGCTGCCCCGGGCTCCGGCCCGGGTAGCTGCAACAGCGGTAATTGCTTCACGAATTTATTAGGCGAACATAACTCGTCCTAGTTTCCTGACCTCTCCTGAAATTTGCTTGAATATCAAGCGTAGAGAACATACCTACATCTAATCTAGGTACATGTACTTTAGTATTATGCTTGAACGATACTCTTGTTATCTTTTGGTACTCATGTGTATGTTTTACAAGTTTTTATTGACTAAAGTAGGTATAGTTTTATTACAATTCTCATAGAAACTTAAATACATTCACTTGAGACTATTTCTCACAAGCTTGTTCTACGTATCCAGATCGTCTCGATACTGCTTTCGGTGTTGGCCTCGGCGGCGACACCCATCCCAAGCTTGCATTGTGTAAACTTGTAAAGAGTTAGACCTTCGCCCAGCGACCTTCATGCATGCGTCTACCGTGAACTAGACACACTCACAATCTGCCAATCGTTTTTGCAATAAGACTACACCTTCATCCTAATTTTTGATTACACCTCAACCTGCCAACACGTGGTATTACTCTTATTAATTTTCTTAACATTCAGTTTGTTAAATTCATTGCATGAATGTATACTTTTCAAAATATTTACTATTAGGATACGACACGTCTTAATTAAGTTATTTGTTATGCAACACACATTACACCTTAGTTTATAGCCCTCTTTAATAATTTTTCACATTCCCTTGCTGTGCTGTAGAGGTATTGTAAAAATATTGTAAACTTTGCAAATAAAATGATTAAAACTTAATCCGTGTTTAATTTATTGATGAATCCTTTGTTTGAAGTATGAGGAGGTCGCTAAGGTGTTATAACTTGATGCAATATTAATAGTCTGGTTCTTGGTCAATTAAGAGTTTATTCGTGTCAACTTTTGTTAAAGTTTTCCATCTGGTGACAACCTCATATAAGATAATATCGAAGATATAATATTAATAGAGGAAATGTTTTTTCTAATTGTATTGTAATGAGTTTCTGTCAATATGTTACAGAATATCATGGGCAAAGTATGGACGCTGGCGGGAATAATTTTGACTCCGGTAAGTTGACTAAACTTTTTTGCTCAAAACAAAATACATATAATTTTAAGGTCCTAGACTGGTAGAAATCTTACTGACCTCACTGACATGTATCAACACCCGTAGACAAACGAGGCTGGAATTCGTATTCTATAATGCTTATGACTAAGATTATCGAATATCAGTTTATTAACCTTAATGCCAAACCAAGCTTCGTACTTTTATAACATTTCTAATATACTAAAATAAATGTTAGAATCGTCCAACAAGTTTGCTAATGCAGGAAAAGCTGCAGCAGCACAAGTTGGTCGGGTCGGAGGAGACTGCACGCACATGACTGCAGTCTGACGTCACGCGGCACATCGACACAGCAGCGGTTTCCGACATTACTTAAATAACATTATCTTCTTAAAAGACTAAAATTATATTATGCATAGTTCGTCGCCACCTGAATACAATTGATTAAGTTGTAATAATCCATGCAGTCATGAGTCATGGCTGCGTGCAGTGTGCATTCGGTGTTGTAGGTGTCATTTTAAACAATTTTTGGGCGGATTGTGCTAATTATGTCGTACATGCTTTGAATAAATGTAATTTGTACATCGTTTCCGAGCACAAAAATAAGACTTCGGTTTTTAATAAACTTTAATAAAGTTATATTTATCACGTTTTGTTAAGAATGTCTGCACAAGTTGGTGGAGTGGCGAGTTACAACCCTTACAGACATCTCTTTTATGTAATAATATTTCACAATGACTGTCTCGCCGGTTGCCTGCTGAGCGTTGAGCACCCAAACCCGGTCCGGATTATACTCGGCTTAGGATTGTAACGGCCTAGTCATGAGACTGAGCATAAGCACATGGGGTCGTTACTCGTTATCGCCATGTTACATGATTGTATTAAATCTGTATGGCGCAACTCCCAAGTAACGACCGATTACTTGTTCCGATCGTGACACGATCTACAAGTTTATGCAAATGAAACTAAATTTCTTTATTATTTCACACATGTTTCTGAACATTCCGAAATAAAAGTAACCGGGTTACAGAGGTATTGTATAGCGGCTCGCGGCTCGCGGCTCGCGGATTACAAAGGAGGCGCACGTTGTGCGGTGTCTAGACACGATCACACGACTGAACATTGAACAAACCGGTTGTCAGGCCTTCCTAGTTTCCCGACTCCGAGTGTCCTGAAAGGCGTCGTATCTGCAAGCCCATTAATCACACGGTTGCTATGCAACCAAACGAACGGTTTTTTTGCGAAGGTTGCCGAAGGGCAGACGGTCGCCCGCGGGCGCCTCGCTTTACACAATATTCTCGATTAATTAATATGTTGTTTGTTATTCTGGACATCCGAATATATGGCCAGTGCCACCTGGAGCACGAGGAATAATTCTCGGAAAAAAATGCTTTTTGTGTCCGATATTATTCAGTAATGGAGTAGTAACAAATGCCATATTCTCAGGGATAATAAATAGGCGTGTCGATAGCTAGCGAAATTCAAGACAATGTTTGTCTAAAACGATAATTTTATATCAATTTTGTATTAGATGCTTATTTTGTCACGTCATCAGTAGTTTTAATAATCATTTACATTACTTATCCAATTAATTAACGTAATTAAAACTATATGAGTAGCATGTAATAGGTGAAATGATAACGACCGCGGCTGAAAGCTAGGCTAGGCACGGTCTATGTCTGCTTGCCTGGCTGGAGTGGTTAGTAATTAGCCGCCGAAATATTGGGCGTAGTCTATACTCGATAGAGTCGGGCCCTGTGCATGGCCCGGAACGAGTCGCGTGCATTGGAATCGATCACACGTCGATTTCTACCGGGCAAGCAGTTTGTTTCATTACGCTGCGCCGCTGTTTCGCTTCAGTGTTCAGTATTGTTCAGACAATGCAACGTATTTCTGCTAGGTATATGCTGGTCTGCGCCCACCCTAAGGACGGTTCTACCTTAATTTGATTTGATACATGTAATAAGCTGTAATATTATTTTTATTATCTTACTTAACTTGAAATCATCACTGATTGAGTTTAGCTAGTTTCTTTTAATTAGTATCGCCTGATTTTTTAATTACAATAACATTTTGCCATTTATACCACGAACAGGTGCAATTGTGCACTTAGCACAATTGCACATACATGCATATTAAAAAAACTACATCATTTCTCTATAAGATAAATCGAATACAATTCCAGCCTTCGTTCTACCACTAACAAAAATCAAAAATCCAATAATGTCGAGCAGTGATCCGAATCGAAAATCGAACAGAGGATCTCTTGCTACAGATGATCTAATCTAGGTGACAGATAGGTGTTACTTTAAGATGTCTTCGTGCCGTTATTGTTATCTGCTATTGAACAATATTATTCTGTCTATGCACAAACTTTTTAACGGCTATGTAGTTGCCATATTATTTACGACCATAAGTAAAAAGACTACAATGGATTCCCATTTGCTGAACTTCCTGTTTCATAACGGACTAATAACTTCATTTTTTACTTATACGTATACTGCAAGTTGCGATTGCAATATGACTCAATTATTAATAATTGGCGCTGATCCTTGTCTCTCCTCCACATGCAGGTCAGCAGCCACAGGAGCAGGAGTTGGCGACGAAAATGCTGCAGATCCAGTCGAAACGGTTCTACCTGGACGTGAAGCAGAACCGACGCGGCAGGTTCATCAAAGTGGCAGAGGTGAGCGTACGTCATCATTCTGTTCATACTCCATGTTGTGCCGTGTTCTGCATGCAATGAGTAGAGCCTGCATGTCCCTGCATCGCCCGTCGAAACTCAACAATGAGTTGGTGTAGTCCAGGGGTTAACAAGGTTTCTTCGTTAAGTAATTTAGACATGTGAATGATTTTTCTGGCCTTTGTAAGTATGACCAGTTGTTGAATTCTTTCGCGGCTGTATTTTGTCCACTACTGGCTTTGACAAAAAATCGACAACGGTTAATTTAGAAAATGCTTTATTTAGATTTACCTAGTTAATTTTAAAGTACAAAGCGTCAGGGTTTATTTAAAACTGGTTCAGTTAGCTCCAGTGGTGCGATGAAAGGGTTTGATAACGTAATGTGTTGCCACACAATACCTGATTATGTGAAAAAGTTGCCATAAATTCCCCTGACCTTTGACGCCCACGGCCGCGGCCGTCAACCGCCAGCCAGCCGTCGCCACGCCACGTCTGCTTTGTATAAGTTCCTTGTATGAAGCGAAATGTGCTTAGGATCTGCATGTTCATCTCCATATTATCTAATCATAAGTGTTGGTTGACGGAGTATACGGGAATGGAGTATTCATGCAAGATACACTTATTGCTCAAAGCGGTGTACCTTGTTTTTGAGTGCTAGTCGTAACTAAGGTATCGACATGATGACGTAATAATGTCCCAAGAAAGACAATGATTCAAATCGTCAGCTGCTGTAATCTCGTAGTAAGGGCAACCCTAACACGGTTTAGGTGATACCAAGAATGTTGCAGAATACTACTATTACCTCTTAATCGCCTTTGGCAACTGCCAACTGCCAACTCATTTTCTGTTTTGTAGAACGGAAGTGCTTACCTAGTGTTAATCAAGTTACGCCAATAGAAGCAGTGTTGACATAGGAAGAGTCATATATTTGCGTTGCGTAAGCGCAGCCTGTGTGTACGATAATGCATTACGTAACTGATAGCGTCAGCTGATGACACTGAGCTGATAATGTGGCACTGTACTCTCTCCGAACTCATTATCATTCGCTGATTATATTATATCAGCAATATTCAGGGGGATTGCTGGAAGCCATCAGACCACCACAGACGAGGCCAATGCTATACTTGGGCTGCGGATAAACCGCAAACATTTGCCATGGCTCGAGGCAAGAGTTGGGACAAAACACCCGTTTTTAGTCAGTTAATGTATTTCCACTCGCTTGCTTCACACAGGGTGGAAGGAGCCATTCGATAATTTTACATAACATCACGCCTTTTATCCCAGAAGGGGTAGGCACCTTATACCATTATAACACCCACTTTTCAAAATTTATGTTATGAGTTCCATATAATAGGGAGTGAGCCTATTGCCATATACCGGACACAATTGCGATCTAAGTGCTACTACTGAGAATTTTTGTTTTTATTACTAAGTAATGTTTTGCCTGACCCGGGAATTGAACCTGAGGCCTCTTGCCCGGCAGCCTCACTTGCGACCACTCGGTCAATGAAGCAGTCGATGATTTTATCCCCCGTCAAAAAAGGGGGGACAGCTAATAGCAATTCGTCTTGTGTTGTTACTCTCCTCCATACGAATCTACGCCTTGTAACATGCAGCTACTTTCACTAATGGATTAACGGACGATTTCTGCTTTGAGTCAATGCTTTGACTTTAACAATGGCGAATCCTCACGATCGTTAAAATACGGGACCGTGTGAAGTCCTCATATCATGTAGTGTCTAGTAGTGATTTCTTCGAGGGCTGCGGAGTTGTTAGTTATATACACTTAAAACTTGTAAGTTTTCTTTGTGCGAGTTTAAAAAACTCATTTTAAATCGGTTCACATCGTTTTTGAACCGTTCAAAAAGATGCTTGCGATATGTTCAAAGTCAAAGTCAGAATCATTTAATTCGATTAGACCAGGAAGACACTCTTGAACGTCAACGTTCTATGGTAATGTTGGTTCTTTTATAATTACGTAATTGCAACCATTGCGCGTTATTTTATTATTGTCACTTGTGATTATGATTTATCATCAAAATGAAATGGAAAATAAGTTCTTTACGTGTTATCTTTCCAAATGAGTTAATTTTGAAGAATGGCCGACTGCTGTAGATTTCCTCGAGAAGATAAGATTTCGTATGACACTTGGGAAATTTATTTTCACGTTCTGGAATCATCATTATAATATTTTGAGTTTACTCCGCTGGTCTACTAACCGTAGTGGTAAAATAGACAATAGTGACAAGCGCTTGACTTTCTAGTTTTGATTCCTAGTTAGAGCAAAAAGACTGCCTCGTTGGTCGAGTGGTCGCAAGTCCAACTGCCGGGCAAGGGGTCTCGGATTCGGTTCCCCGGTCGGGCAAAGTATTACTGGGTTTTAAAAAAAATCTCAGTAGTAGCACGGAGCCTGGAACTCTCGGTGTGTGGCAAAAGGCTCACCCCCTATTACATGGCATTAAGTGCCGTTATGTGCACCTCTGCCTACCCCTTCGGGGATAAAAAGGCGTGACGTCATGTTTATGTCATGTTACAGCAAAATGTAGTTGACATTTGTGTTTGATATCTGGCAGTAGGTTCACCTCCAGTCTGGTCTGTAAGGACTGTTACATCTTGGTCTGTTTGTCAACAAACCAAACATTTAATAAGTGATGTAGATATTTGAGTGTGTGTATGGCTTTGCAGTGTTCATGTAAATATGATTGCGCTCTGATTTAACATGTTAACTTTACAAGTGTGGGTCGTCCTTCGCGCGTGAGAAGCGACAGCGAGCCTCCGTTCACTGCGATATTGATCACTACCTCCCCTTACACTGGCGACACATACGACACACATATCCATATTTGCTGCATTAATCGTTAACCAACATAATAATAATAATATGTTATTGTTCCTGACCTCATACTTCAGGCCTTCATTCAACGTGTTCGACAAAATCGCATAAAATTTCCTGTATAATATTTATGTTCATGATTTTACAGACATGCCAACAATAATATAAGAAATACATTAAATGCTGCGAACAGTAATAATGCTAATAAAGCGTGGCTTTCATAAGAAATATACTAGGTGCATGTACCGCACCTAGTCGCTGATTGTGTTTATACATTCAACACATTCCTATTTGTAGTAATATGTTTGTTTATATAGGTACTTATGACTCGTTACATTTTTGCATTCCATTTGATCTTAAATTCGGTCCTTAAATAAAGAATATTTTGAACTTTTCGATGAAGCAATAGGTTCTTGTAAGTTTTGTACCTATCATAATGAGACCAATAACAGACATTTAAAGTGTATGTACTGAAAGTGAAAAGCCCGTCGTGGAATATCATGCTTGATAATACAGTATTGTTGAACGATTGCTTCTTTTGAAGATTTCCTAAATTGAAGCATTTTTTGTAACCTTCGTTGTTTCTAAAGGACGAGGACCCTTGTACCTACATGAGTACACGAGTATAGGCCATTGGTACAGGCATATTGACGGTGTAAGATGTTGTTGCCTTGTTGTTCAGATCGGCGCGGACGGGCGGCGCAGTCAAATCTTCCTGGCGATGTCTACGGCGGCGGAGTTCCGCGACCACCTGTCCAGCTTCAGCGACTTCTACTCGTCGCTGGGGCCGCCCAACCCAGACAACGTGCCCGACGACGGCAAGCTCAAGTCAGAGATGATGCTGAAGGTGAGACACACACGTACACATAACACAAACACACACTAGTATCGTTCCCCAGAATTAAGCAAATTATGTTGACATATAGTGTATGTATGAGAATTTTCAATCTCAGGATTAAATCATAATCGGAATGTGAATGTAAAACTTGTTCAGTTTGATGGCCTCATTGTGCTCGTGCAGTTGCTACTGCACGGTTTTACCTCCAGTTATTCAGTTGTACCTTGTAGACTAGACACGGTATTATTTACGTGCGTTGCTGAGAAGTACGAGGAATGGTAACGAGTTAGGACGTGGTGTATGTGGCAGGACAACCGGCGGTACTACCTGGACCTGAAGGAGAACTCGCGCGGGCGCTTCCTGCGCGTGTCGCAGACCATCACCCGCGGCGGCCCGCGCTCGCAGGTGGCGCTGCCGGCGCAGGGCATGATCGAGTTCCGCGACGCACTCACCGACCTACTCGACGACTTCGGCATCGATGACGGAGGGTACGTACCACCCAGCCACCTCAACTATATCTGCCGTGTATCATTCCTTCCCAGTTGTATTGTTAGTGTCAGTCCATCCCACAAGGAGCTTACTGTTCGATCCAGTGTTGAGCGTGTTCAAACAAACTTCAGTTCTATATTGGAACAAAAATGTTGTATAAAATTAGGAATGTTGGTTGCTGCTCTAGATATACATAATATATCGCGTGGGTTCGATAACCCGCGACTGCAATTTTGTTTGAACACATTTTGTACAATCGCGGAATTAAATATACTACCGGCCGGTAACGCGCCACGATTATAGATATAGGTCACCGGCAATCTTATCCAGGCGAGTGTGCGATATATTGCCAAACTACTCCTCTTTGCCACGACGTACTGCTGAAAAAAAATAACATTGCACAACTTACTTGTCCATTGTATAATTTTGAATTAAACAGTTTTTGTATGCGGTCGGAATGTCAATATTAAAAGTTAACAATTTCCTTTAGTCAAGGCTAGTCGTAGTTGTAGTTGTGTTACTTTATAAATACAGAAATGCAAGAAAGCAATAGTCGTAATAAATATGACATTAGTAGACGTTGGAGCGTGGCTTGCTTCGTCACGGGGCTGCTCTTGAAACAGTTTATATAATTAAATTTGCCTGAGAACGAACAGACAGCGCCAGGAGTATCGATCGGATGTAACGCGCTCGATACTCGATACACACCTCGCTGATGCACCTATTGTGTATTTATGTGGCTTTATTATTGCTGTGCCTTTATGACCAAGCTAAATATATTACAGGTCGATACTACACCACATGCCCCTTGTACAAGTGTCACCATTTCTATTTATTAGTTTTATGTAGTACATATTCTTCATTCGCTTTTAATTACGTTATGTTCAGCCACTAGTGCCTCATGAAATCCTTGTCATTCAAAAAAATCGCAGAAAAAATGTGCTATGTCGCTACCGTAGTGCGGTAGTGCGGTAGAGCGGCGAGCACATTGTAAGATGATAGGTTCGCGGGGCGTTATCGCACGCGTTTGATTAAATCGCATAAAGCAGGCGACCTAGTTCCTGCCCGCTATCGGGCGACTGATTACAGAAATCATTAATGGAGCTGTTCGTTCAAGTTATTGATTCTTATCATTTGTTGCTTCCGTCTCTGTTTACTAGTGGTTACTTGTAGTAAACTGCAGCGTTACCGCGGACTCGCTGTAAAGATTAGATGTTAGAGCTGTCAGTAATCTCATGGCAAAAGGAGGTTATCGTACACATCCGCTGAGTCGCGGGCGCGAGGCAGGCGCGAGGCAGGCTCGGGGCCCGCCGCCCCTGTATGTCACTGTTGTTATAATTTGTTTATGTTGTATGTTATGTACCAGCTTTATGTTTAACGGGGTCTTTTCTTTTTCTGATTCTTGCCACTGTCGCCGTTAGCGATCACCCGGCTGAGGCTTGGTTTGAACCGGAATGGTATGATTTTCATTATTGGGGAATGGTGGCATAGTAAATATTGTTGTTGTACCGACGTTGAGTCCGTTTGATGCTTAAAGTACTAGATTGTGCTGGCAAGTGTAGTAGGTCCGGTACCGCGGTATGCCTCGTAGTGCATGCGTGGCTCGTGTCGTGGGTCGGACCGTGAGACGCGCTGTGCTTGCAGGTTCAAGGGCGAGCTGCCCGAGGGCCGCCATCTGCGCGTCGACAACAAGAACTTCTACTTCGACATCGGCCAGAACAACCGCGGCATCTACATGAAAGTCAGCGAGGTGAACCCCCACTCTACTCAACTCATACGTCACACCCCGACTCCCCGACTACTCACTGCATGCTTTACCCTTACTTGACGATTTGTTATATTCATCGTGAAATGTTTCTATGTCAACTCACACTCGATGTGCAATTGTATAACTAGTCCCAGCTATTATAATATTGATGTAACTCTTTGTACAAACGCATAAACTAAGGGAAGTAATGGCCGGCGCAGAGCTGGCGCAGGGCGGAGCGGCGCGGTGCGGCCTGCACCGGCACTATACCAGCGTGCACTGGGGGCAAGTGGCGTGCACTGGGGGCAAGTGGCGCGTACTGGGGGCAAGTAGCGCGCACTGGGGGCAAGTAGCACGCACTGGGGGCAAGTAGCGCGCACTGGGGGCAAGTAGCGCGCACTGGGGGCAAGTAGCGCGCACTGGGGGCAAGTAGCGCGCACTGGGGGCAAGTAGCGCGCACTGGGGGCAAGTAGCGCGCACTGGGGGCAAGTAGCGCGCACTGGGGGCAAGTAGCGCGAACTGGGGGCCAGTAGCGCGAACTGGGGGCAAGTAGCGCGCCAGGTAACCCCCAGTGCTCTGGCGGTGCCGGTGGGGACCGCACGCAGTCGCCAGCTCGGCGCCGGCCAACTCAAATAAAATCAGTTTTAATTTTCCCCCAAAGCAATCAGGAGGCAGAAAAGAAGTTAGTAATAATTAACATCATACATAGCATCTGTTAGGTTAGCGCGTGGCGAGTGAGTGAGTAACGTGCGGTGTGCACTGTTGCAGGTGAAAAGTAACTTCCGCACCGCCATCACAGTGCCGGAGAAGTGTTGGACGCGGTTCCGCGACATCCTGGCCGACTACTGCGACAAGATGTGCCGCGCGCACCAGCCCGCCGACTCGCATCAGGTGACTATATACTGCGACACCCTCGACACACAGTCTGTGGCACAGGGCGGGGCCGCGCCGCCGGCCAGCGCAGTACGTACTCCCACGCCCTGCTCTCTGGCTCTGTAGCCGCCACCTCTACTCTCAATGAACAATATTATTTCACCGCCTTGGTTATTAACTGCATTTACCTCGCTGGGCTGCCATGGATATATTAACAAACTTGCTATTTGGCTCCTACACAATAAACTATTTGACAGCCAGCAACAAACAGTAAGTCACAGTTGACAGCTGTCAACTGTGACAGCTGTTTCTGGTGTAAAATGACTCGTGGCGTTTGAGGTGCAGTGAGACCTACGTTGTCAAATGGTTTGTTGTGTAAATACATAGCTTCCTGCTAGTCCTTGTACAGTCGAGTGCGAGCATGTACTGACGAGTGCGACTGGTTGCAGGAGACGGTGGGAGCGCCGCACCGGATTTGATGCGCGCGGCAGTGAGGGGCGGGGACACGGGGCGAGGGGGGCGCGGGGGAGGGCGGGGCGCGCGGTCAGTGACCGGCCGGGCCGCCGCCACACAAACTGATGCTTTATTATTATGTGTATATAGTATTGATATGATTATGTAGTATGTTATATATTTGGCGCTACGAGACCACCCGGGCCTCGGCCCGGCCGCGGCGCGAGCTCGACTCCGCCATCACAAGGTACTAATGTTGCTAATGTTGCACTCCGACGGTTCATTTGTTGTTGACATTGTAGGAGGCGCTCGTTCGTGGCCTTTTAATCTAAATTATTACTTGCGCCGCTCGCCGAGGGCGGCCTTATTTTATTATTTTTCTGAAAGAAACTAACTTTAGACGGCTTTGAGCTTTATTTTTAAATTATCACTTTATTTTATTCTCTTTTTTTAATTTGTGTAAATAGTTTTCGGCACATGGTATCGAGAATATGAAGTAGAACGAATGTTGATACACTATATAGCGAGGCGGAGATGTATTCCGAGGTGTAAGTCATATTATTTCGTTAAGTTATATGATATTAGGGCCGGAGTGCCGGGCACGCGACAACATAATAAAGTTTCGATACAATTGCGACGGCCACTTGTCTAGTTTGTAGGTGTATGTGTTTTTTCTTTACTATGATTATTGAATGATAGTGTTTACTGGCAGCGCGGAGTAGGCAGGGCTCGTGCCGGCCGCGGTGTACTCGAATCATTAGATTTACGACGCACTGCTGTGATATACATAGGCGTACGATCCGACGGATTTAAAATGTTATTACGTACGGGACGGACGCGGCCGCGGTCACGTCCTTGTTATTTGGTAGGTTTGTACTGTATTCTAAATTGAACGAAAATATTGGCTTCGATTCAAAACGGTTGCTGTCAAAATTATGGGTAATTGGCGATTCATTAATGTTAGGACGGACCCCTCAGTGAGGGCAGTGCACTACGAGGCGGCGGCGGGGCCTTGGAACTTACTCTACTCATGTATTTACGCATTTTGTTTGATTATTATGTTTTATTATGACTACATCACTCCGATTCACCCTTTATTGGTAGCTTTAGGCGTATCGCAACGCGGTCGCAACATCCGCAGTAACTGTACCGGTGTACCATAGTACCAGTGTACCAGAGTACCAGAGTACCTAGTGCCGCGGCGCTGGGTATGTGATACCCGGCGCTGGGCAGTCTCCTGTGAATAATGCAATAACGAGATCGTGGTGTATCTATGACGGCCTGATATAATTTGTTTGTGTGTGTGTAAGTGCATTAGTTTTACTTAGTTTTTTTTCACACGCACAGAGTGCGCCACTGGTATCGCTCAGTATTGTTTGTTGTGTTCTCTCAGGGCGCCCTCGGACTCTCTCAGCTGTTGAATACGTTTACATTTTGTGTGAAACGAATTTAAGTATACATTTATCTGTGAAATATTCATAAAGTTAATTGACTGCGAAATTATTGTAAATTGGACTGCGAGATCTATTATATTATAAATATTGTATCTTTCGATATATGCGACCTGTGGCGCGTACGGTTGTACCGCTCTGTGTCTGTATGTATGTAACGTGCTCTATACGTAACTACTCGTGAGTGAGCGGACTTTGTAGTTATTGTACTGTTATGTTGTTCCATGGACTTATGAAGTTAATACAAGCAAGTATGTGGTTAGTGCTAGACACATAGACTACTTCACCCGTAAGGTTACATAGACATAGGCCCGCGCGGCTGCGTAGGTTAATTTACAGTACATTTTCCTCTGGAGACCATTCTATATAGAGTGACATAAGTTGGTGACGTCCGATAAAGTGTTACATAATATAGAAGAAAATATGAAATACCTATATAAAACATTTCTCTATACGAATAAATAAAAGATAGAAATATATACAAAGCGGGGGCGGGCGAGCGCGTCGCCGTAAGTAAGTTAGGATAGTTCGCGACACGCGGGGCGGGCGCGGGGCCCGGCGCGCCCGACGCCAGGCGCGGGGCCCCACTGTACGACGCTGTACTACCGGGCCCCGCCTCGCGACTTGGGCTTCATTTTAAACTAAACTATTTATGGTACAAAAGTAATTTTACTTCCATAGATGTTTAAGATCTACAGAGTTTATATTTAGACTTGAAATAAAAGAGGTTATATTCGCTCGGTCGTGGGCCGGCCTGGCACTCGGTCGATAAAGTATAAATAAATTAAAGCTATATGTATAATGAGATGAATAATAGTCTATACGTGGAGCTAGGTACCGCGCGGCCCCATAGCGCGGCCCCATACCGCGGCCAGTCAGTGCTGCCCCTGTGATAGCGCGCCCCGCTCCGCCCCGCCCCGCCACCCCCGCCCCGCCCTCACCCGCTTGCCGACTTCGCGTTCCTTCACTTAGGTTTATGATGCCCACTGGGCCATACGTTCGCGTTGCACATGTCCACTGTATCCCATGTCCCACCTCTTCCGCCCCTCCTCGCTCGCTACATAGCAGCGAGCCGCTCTGTCCGTAACGCGTGCTCCTCAACTCCACTTGTCTTTCTCGTTCAACGATTTTACTGACCAAATATGTTCAACACTTGGGTTGTGACTTCTCACTGTGATATTTGGTCAGTCACTGCCTGCAGTGGAGTGGCCCCTGTAACGCCACGGTCCTCCTCCGGCAGCGAAGCGTCCCCCATAGTAAACAACGACGAACGTATGTCACTAGTTCGGGCGGTGTTTGTCTAGTTGGTGTGCAGTCTGATGCCTGGTGGTGATAGTCAATTATTATAATATTCATTATCCGCGACGCATCGCCGCTGTCACTGCGGCCCAGTGCGGCCCGGCGCGGCCCATGCGGCCCTGCGCCCGGGCGGCCCGGGCGGTAGTAGTCAGACCGCCAGTGACAGCGGCGAGGCAGCCGCACGCCGCCCCCGCTTCCTAAGTGTTAAATAGGTCACTATAGTTACGAATCGAATCAACTGCTAAAATAAAAACTAAAAAAAAATCAGAGTTATAATAGTACGTTAGTTTTAATTATATTTCTGATATTAATTGATGTTTTGCTAAAAGATAATTTATCTGTACGTTAGGCGCGAGGCCGCGGCCCGCCACATTGTTTCTGTGAGGGCTGAGTGCCACCATTCATTGTTAGACTTGCTACTCGACGTCGACAGGTATACCGAGTCGACGCTCACACTCGTCCAGTATGGCGCGGTTTTATTTTTCTGGTCAGCTTGTAAATTCATACCGCCCTTGTACAAAATATAAACTTGTGAAAAATCATTTTATAATTACATGTAAGCAATACCACAGTACCTGAGATTGAAATAAAAATTATTAAAATGTAATAGTATGAAAATAGCGGTTGGACACAATACAAGACAAGTACTCGGCGGTTTTCGATGAGCAGTAACTAAACAGGATAGGTTTGCAACTCTACTTTGTGGATTTAGTTAGGTTTGTGTTTTATTTAGTACGTCTGCGGCCGATCGTCGGCTGAGGGTCGAGAGGTCGGAAGGTCGGAGGGCTGCAGCTGTAGGGAGACTGCAGGAGAGCGAGCGAGCGAGCGAGGCGAACGACGCGAGCGAGCTGCGGCCCCTAGGGTAAACGGTTGAAGGGATCACATGCGAGGTGATAGGAGTTGTTCTTAGCCATAGGGAGTACGCGGGCCCGCCCGCCGCCCGGGCCCCGCGCGGCCGGCGGGCCCCTTAAGGTATGCTTAGGACGTGCCATAACACGTTGCGATCATGTCATCACATCTATGTATAGGTACCTTTGTATTTACGTCCACGAGGAGGAAGGAGATGGCTTCAGTTTCACGTCGGCGTCTATATGCGTCGGCTGCGTTTGTTTTGATTTCAGTTTCTCGTACGATAAGTGAGACCCGACAGCGGGAGCGGGCCGGCGTCCGGCGCCGACCCGGTCCGGCTGTGGGACGGTATGATAAGTGCTAACGTTTCGTTCGTGGGTATTAGTGAAGGTCTCGTGTGGCCTCATGCCGCGAGTCACGTCACGATGATATCATGAGTCAGACGGAGGTGAATAAATGATACTGCCAATCGATTGTAGTTTATATTTAATAATGGTAAATGATTTGTAGACTTAAAACTAACAATTTCGAGATATTGTGTCCTAAATATTTATGTATAGTATCGATACATCTGATGGCTCGGTGCTGTCCACGCGTGCACTCGGCGGGAGGCGTGGACAGGGCCGGACTCGTGTGTAAATGTTTTCCTTAGGGTGAGGACGATGGATACAAACTGTGTTCTGTAGAGTACCGACCGACAGGGCGTTGTCTAGATAGGATTGCACACGTCGCGGGCGCGGGCATGGCTCACCTGGGCTGCGCCCGCGCAAGCGATGTTATTAAACGTGGACTACGTTCGCGAATGATGCTAAGGTGTAAAAAAAAATAGATTGCAATATAAATGTGGTTGTTAGGTATAATGGTGACGGCATATTGGGTGTTGTGTATGGAGAGGAGGCGACTAGGGAAGGGATACGAAGGGAACGTTTTGATAAATATGCGTCGGCAAGGACGGTCGAAGTTTTAATAATATAATTTGCGTATTAGTATTCATTTCTAAAACACAGAGCATCCAATGCGCGAAGTGGATTACGAGTCAGTTTTCTAAATAAAAGACACCCAATATGCAACGGAGTAGTTGGTAATGCGATATCGTAATGTTTGGAACTCTGGGACTGACATGGCTCATGTGATGAGGATAAATTTTTTTTGAATATTTTTTTTGTCTAAATTGTCTAAATTTCTCAATTCGTGTATGACACGGCTCGCTAGTATTGAGACTGGTTCGGTGTGGGCGTACGGTGCCGCGTCCGGGCGCGCTCCGCCGGACCGGCGCCGCTCGTGCGCGGCACTCGTACGCCAGTGAGATTTTGTATCCAAAGATTGTATAGTGTGATGTATAACTTCCTATAGGTTTATTATTATACTAGTATTTTATATACTTGTTGTTTTTCTATTGTTTGACACTTGGTGTTTGGAACATTGTCAGATCTCCCGATCGAATTTTATTGAATAAAATTTGCTTGTAATGTTTTGTAAGTCAGTTACTGACGCCATTAGTGGTCTGTCTTAGAATTAAATTCAAAATTCGATGGATTATAAGCAGTGTCTGTAACTTTTTTTGTATGTATAATATGTATTAACTGAGGGAATGGAATGGATCTCTGCGCTACGACCGGGCACAAGTGAAGTGTTGTAGGATCGATCTCGCGAGGTGTTGGCCGCGGTGGTAGCGCGGAGCGGTCGTGTGCGAGGGGCAGTCAAACTGCAAGTAGATGGTGCTTGAGTGTACTTACGATGGATATCATATTATTTCTATTTTATAACTGAAATTAAACGCCTATTTATTTTGTGTAAGTTGAAGTGAAATTGTTATTTTTAATCAAAATTAATTTGGTCAAACTGTCCATGTCTTAGTTCTTTGTAAGCGCAACACGTTCGTGTATAGAATAATGTAATTGGCGCCATCTATCGGTCGCCACCGAGTACTAATAAGTAGCGGTTAGTTAGAGAGGACGTGTTGCGTACGACCGAACGTCGTGACGTGAGTGGCATGCGCACGCGGCGACGCGGTCTGCGCGCGGCCCCACTGGCGGGCCCACTGGCGGCCCCACTAGCGGGCCCCTTCCGGGCCCCGAGCCTGTCACAGGGCGCTGAGTGCGGCCCCGTGCGCACGCCGCGCCGCCGCGCGTTGTTGGATCGCTCGACATACACAAGGCGGAATATTGGTGCGCGACTGCGACGCGCGGTGTGCCGTAGGAAAGTTTTACGATAAATGGTGAAAAAATAAAGAAATTACAAAAAAATGTACTTTATTATTTTAGCCTTACCTTCCATTACAGATTCATTATAAACAGTATTAATACTTCTCACAACCGTCTTCTCCAATGTCCCACTCATCGCACTGACTTCTTACATTCATCCTTTTTCGTACAGGCAATTTTTCTGTGGAATGCGCTCCCCCTAGATGTCAGGATGGTCTCAACTCGACTAACTTTTAAGCAGAAAGTACGTGAGCTTTTC